TGTATTGTATAGCATAGTATGCCATAAAAACATTTACAAGAATGTCATTAAAATGCCATGAAAAATGCAAAGTATATCATATCATAAAAATGACATAATAGGCATATAGTATTCTATTCTATTCTAGTATAATATGTTGTGAAAAATAGAATAGTATGCCATAAAACATGTGATATTTATGTATAACATTTCAAGCATAATATTTCATTAAAATGTAATAATTGTGGGGATGCTTATTCAGCAGCATTTCAACTATTGGTATCCCATTTATTTATTCTGTCCACTATCAAAACATTCAGCTCTTTGAGGACATCACTTCATTCAACTGTTTTCTAACTTTTATACTTGTATTTATACTTATGTTTACACTTACTGTATATTTAGCTTTTTACACATTTGTTTTACAATGCAACTCCAAATGAAAGAATCTTCAAATCCCCTTAAACCAATTCCACTTTCAACTTCCACTACATCTGCAAACGTTCAGCTACAGACACCATTTAAACTCTAAACGGATTACAAGACTTTGAACTATTTGACTATTGAACATTCCCTAATGTTTCTTTCGATAATCTCTTGGAAAAGTTCCCTGAAATTTGTATCGAGAACTTCTCGGAACATTCCCTGAAGGTTCTTTAGATAACAAACATTCCCTGAAGGTTCTTTAGAAAACAAACGTTCCCTGAAGGTTCTTTAGATAACAAACGTTCCCTAAAGGTTCTTTAGAAAACAAACGTTCCCTGAAGGTTCTTGAGATAACAAACGTTCCCTAAAGGTTCTTGAGATAACAAACGTTCCCTAAAGGTTCTTTAGAAAACAAACGTTCCCTGAAGGTTCTTTAGATAACAAACGTTCCCTAAAGTTTCTTTAGAAAACAAACGTTCCCTGAAGGTTCTTTAGAAAACAAACGTTCCCTGAAGGTTCTTTAGAAAACAAACGTTCCCTGAAGGTTCTTTAGAAAACAAACATTCCCTGAAGGTTCTTTAGAAAACAAAACGTTCCCTGAAGGTTCTTTAGAAAACAGACACTCCCTGAAGGTTCTTTAGAAAACAAACGTTCCCTGAAGGTTCTTTAGATAACCTGTATGAAACATTCAACTGAAGGTTCTTTAGATAACCTCCAGGAATAGAATGCCATTAAACTCATCGTATGCCATACAGTATCATTTCATGGCATATCATAAAATGTCATTAAAAAGTCATAGTTTAGTATGTCATAAAAAACATCATAATAGAGTATTTCATACAAATATCACTAAAAAGTCATAGTATTGTATGTTGTTAAATTGCCATGAAAGGTCATAGTATGTCACAATGCCATTAGAAAGTCATGGCATAGTATGTTCTAAAAAATAAAAATAAATACCATGTCCATTTATTCCACATACTGGCACACCGAACACTAGTAAGGATCGTTTGAAGGACTCGACTTGGAAGGACCTGTCCTACCAGGAAGCATCCTTGACTTTGAGAAACACCCACAGACTCGCAAGGTGAAAATAATACCAGCGTCACGGCTGGTAAAAATTATCAATATTTCATGCTTCGTCATCTACACCCAACCATTCCTGTTCAATTAATTTGACACAAGCTGAAACGGGGTGGTATTCTTGGACGAAAAACTTAGTTGAATGTTTGTATGTTTGGACGAATTCCACTGTGCTTGCTGTAGGGTGACAAATGAGAAAAGGGAGAAAAAAGGAGCTTGAACTCGATAAATCTTGAATAGCACTGGCTCAGAATACCTGTGTCCGTGTGTGTGGTAAACACTCAGTGATGTGGTCATTGGAGGAAACCGAGAGTTCCGAAAAGCCTGAGGAATGAGATCATTCGAATTAAAGCACGTGGCAATTACCAAATGGTAACAGGCTACTCAGCAGTGCAAGTGCAGGAGAGCAGGCCGCCTGACAACAAGGCAGACACAAAGTGATCTGTGGTGGAACTACTTAACAATTTACAGTGAACAGAGCAAACACGAGTTTTGATCGAAATAAACATGACTTTTACTCTCCTTTACACAAACAGGGTCTATATTTTGTTCACCAAAAACCATAACCGCACACACACACACACACAAACACCATGCAGAATTTTATATGAAAACATCAGATCCATAGAAACAACCTTTAATCCAAAAGATGTGGTTGCCTCATGAAGCGATCTGCACTGCACTAAACATCCTTTTCCATGCTGGTGCCCACTTTAAGCAGAACACTGCGGTGATATTAGCAGAGGCTGTTGAGATTTTGATTGCAGCTTGCGGCGCAAATAAAGCTTGGAATGAACCACACCATTCAGCTTTTCTGGGCGGCCAGGGATTTCTTGGAGAAATAAACCTTTTACCATCTTCGTTTCCCCTTTGTTGCAAAAGTGTGACAAAAGGAAGTGACTTAAGTGTTTAAATATTGCTAACACTGATCATGATTTGAGGTTTTCATGCGCAAAGCAGCCAATAAAACATAATCTCCTGATGTTTAGCATTCAGCTGGAGTGAGTCTGTCATCTGCAGGGTGCCTTCCTAACTAAATGGTGACATAAAATAAATTTGACTTGAAAGAAAAGTCTCTTGCAATGGAAACTCCCCACAGGAAGATAGTGGTTTACCAAACTGTCCAATCTCTTCACTCTGCGAAGGGGTTGATTCTATGCGTGTGTGTGTGTGTATGTGTGTGTGCGTGTGCGCGTGTGTGTGTTCTGTTAATGAAAGACTTGCTTAAATGAGTTCTGAAAGGATGAGGCTCTTGAGGACACATGCTCAGGTCCACGGCTGAATACTCTGAAGCAAACTCAGAAGAGGCGGATAGAGAGAAAAGAAGAAGAGGTAAAAGAAAGAACGAGAGAGACGGAGCTCAGAGATGGGAAAGAAAGAGAAATGAGAAGAGACAGAGTGAGGGCAGGAGACGTTAAGAGGTCTGCCACACTTGAAAGGAAGACAGTGCCATCTAGAGACCTCATGTGACAGTTGTGAATTTTTTAATGCACAGGCAAACCTGTCACTTTCAAGCATGGATATTGTTATTCACGAATAAAATAATGATTAAGTTACATTAATTTGTCTCATAGAGAATTGAACTGTCCCATGAAAGCCTAACTGCTTTTTACAGAATGATTCTTTGAGAAATGAATGATTCTTTGAAACATGTTTGCAGAAAATCTTTAGTCCCGCCCCAAGGCTTTTTCAGAGCGTGACCCTGTCCGTCTTCTCGAGTCTTTACAGGAACTTTATTGGATTGACAGCCCTCTCCTCCCTCGGCCCATGGGCCCCCTGCTGCTTCCACTCGTGGTTCCCAGGCTCTGTATCTTCCACGGGGCCAGTTGGGTTTTCACCAAATTGTGGTTCTCGCAAACTTCATAACAACTTGGCTCATTTATCAGCTTCACAACGATAAAAAAGTCACTATCCAGAGCTCTGTCACACTTGTATTGTACTGTATAACTCTCTCTGGAGGATGTCACAAGTTACGAGACAACAGGTAAAATTAGGCAAGAACAAGACAGAGACAGAGATTGGTTGAGTGATCAATTTAGTGTGCAATATATTACAGCTGTTAATTAACATGGTCGAACAAAATGCCTTATTAACTTTTATTGTCACATCTATGAAATTTGAGCTCTGCATTTAAACCATCCGAAGCATTCAGGATCAGTGGGCTGGTGTAAAGCACCAAGGGAGGAACTTGGGGTTTGATGTCTCTCTCAAGGACATTTCGACAGGAGGAGAAGGGTATCGAACCGCTAACCACTCCTGATCAAAAGACAACCCGCTCTGACTACCGTGCCACAGCCGGGTGTCTCTTCATCTTAAGATATTTGGTTTGAATAAAGAACATCTCTTCTTCAATATCCACAGAGGGGCAGTCTGCTCACCTTGACAGTTTCTGTTGTATTTGACCTTCATCACTTAACTATCCCTGGACATGAGCCTGTAAAAAGGATACATTATGTACTTGAGATGGGGGGAATTTCCCTCAAGAAATGATTAACTATTAGTGTGCTGAAGCTTTGCTGCATAAAAAACAAAACATCTGCGGGTTGTGTTGAACTATATATTGAGAGAGGGGAGATTTTCTTCCACTAGATTTAACCTAATTTATCCTCCAGAGATTCTGTCCATGACACCGACTCATATTTTGGACTAGAACAGAGCTTGTGACGGGTTGCGAGGAAACGAGAATGAATCGTTTTTTGCTAACAGAACAGGAAGCTTGCAAAGTGATCCTACTTTTCGTTTCTGCTTTCTCGCGTCCGTGGAAGCCCTCCCATGTAGTTTTAGACAGTAAAAACAAACAGGAGAGAATATAGAAGTAATCTACATGTACTGTATGCAAACAGAAATGAGGCACACAAAGCAAAATGGACTGAAATTTTATGTTGACCAGGAACAAGGTTTGAGAAACGACACAAAGCCATACAGCTGCATCTCAATGAATTACAATATCATCGAAAAGTTAATTTATTTCAGTAATTCAATTCAAAAAGTGAAACTCATATATTATGTAGATTCATTACACACAGGGTGATATATTTCAAGCGTTTATTTCTTTGAATTTTGATGATTATGGCTTACAGCTAATGAAAACCCCAAATTCAGTATCTCAGACAATTAGAATATTACATAAGACCAATTAAAAAAGGATTTTTAATACAGAAATGTTGGCCTACTGAAAATGATGTCCATGTACAGTATACAGTATGTACTCAATACTTGGTCGGGGCTCCTTTTGCATGAATTACTGCATCAATGCGGCGTGGCACGGAGGCGATGAGCCTGTGGCCCTGCTGAGGTGTTATCAAAGCAACCTGGGCTTCCATAGCGGCCTTCAGCTCGACTGCATTGTTGGGTCTGGTGTCTCTCATCTTCCTCTTGACAATACCCCATGCTTATGTAATATTCTAATTGTCTAAGATACTGAATTTGGGGTTTTCATTAGCTGTAAGCCATAATCATCAAAATTCAAAGAAATAAACGCTTGAAATATATCACCCTGTGTGTAATGAATCTACATAATATATGAGTTTCACTTTTTGAATTGAATTACTGAAATAAATTAACTTTTCGATGATTTTCATAATTGAGATGCACCTATATGTGCAACAAATACGCTCAGAAGCCAATAGGTGCAACAGACTCACAGAGAAGGCAGCTTTCTGGGCAATAAATACAAAGTTGATCTATTCATCATGAATAAGTTTCATTCACAGAAAGAGTTTTGTTAAATATGACTCAACAGGGCAGGTTTGTACATGATAGTAACATGTACATGAGCTATTAGACCCCAAATGCAGACTTTTCTCCTCAAAAGAAGCAGAATATGAATCTAATCTATAGAACACTTCTTTATCCTTGTACTTCACACTGGTGATCACTTATAATACAAGTGATCTACAGTGTAAACTTAAATACGCAATTTAGAGCATTTCTGTTGCCTCTCAACGGCTCTCAACATGGCGATGGCTGTGCCGGCAGCTTGCAGCTAACAGTGCAAAAGAGGGGAAAAGTGTTCACTGTTTACCTGGGGGTGGTGCCGGGGGGTGGGTGCTATGCATCCGAAACAAGCCGCTGTATGAGAGCAGTGCAGAGCGGCGGCAGTGGGCTAGCCAGTGGGGCACGCTCAAGTGACATCTCATGTCTAACGGCCGGCTCGGCGATGTCATTAAAGCAAGGAGAAGCTTGGATAAGAACACACTCAGAGGGAGGGCGACTTCACTCTCTGCTCAGGTAAACATTACTCCACTATATCTTTACATAGATACTAGTTGTTTGTTGCTGTATCAATGCTCTGGATATCCAATGGAAAACCTTTAAGAATGCAGGGTTGCTGCATATTCTTCCATTCACTCTGGCTGAGAGTTGGTGAAAGACCTGAAATCCAAGTTTACATAAAACAGGTAAATGAGCAATTCAATGAGCTGGATGTGGGTAGTGTGTTTTTCCTTTTGAATGGAATATTTAATACATGGCATGCTAACTCATAGCTTCTCACAAAATGACATGCTCACAATGGCTTTTAAGCTGAAAAGTGCTACTTGAAGCAGGACCAGAACATATCCGGTGATTGAGGAAGTCACAAGTCAAACACTTAGGATACACGAATAGCTTCCACAAGCCAGGACTTACTAAGGCTTCTCTGATAAGTTCAGAGGCATTTCAATAAATTAGTATAATAACAGGAAGATAGGACTATTATTTAATTATTATTTCATTTTGAAAAATAATATTATGAACTGTCTAGCTTAGCAATTAGAATACAGGGATCACAAAATCTCCTATTTGTGTTGTGATATTCTGGGAGTTTTTTTTTTCCAAGGTTTTGGGTCAGAAGAGCTCTGTAGAAGAAGGGAAGGATGGTTGTCAGTTGTGGTGAAGCAGAAAGTTCTTGATGGGTTGTGGCAGCGGTAACGAGGGTATGTGATTTAGGCGATTTTTGGCCATCGCTTTGCGGATCCTGATGCGACACAGGTTTGTCAGCCTGCAAGGGCATCCTGAGAAGACACAAAGCAGAGGTGGATCTCCTTAGCAGCTGCAGCAGAACCACACTACAGGTTTAGGTAAACCCTAATAACATGGTACAGACCAGTTTATCTAATATATGCAAATTAACCTTTTTATGAGCATTTGTTTTTGGGAGGGGGGGCATTTTTGCTTTTATTTTACAGATGTCAGTGTAAAAAATGGGGGAACTGAGAAAGAGAGGGGTGTGGCATGCAACACAGGTCCCAAGGCCAGATTCAAATCTGGGACGTTGTTGTTATATAGCGTGCGATGTAACCAATCAGCTCCACTAAATCTGAATCTTTTCACGTGTTTCTTTGACAGCCATGTTGTTAGTTATGTCAGCCGTTGCTTTTGTTGTCAGAGCTGTGAACAAATGGTGAGACATAATGTATGAAATGCATTAAGGGGTACCTGTGGCATGTAAAGGAAGTTATGTTTCTGAGTTTATGTATATTATAACCAAATAGCATTACACTGGAAAGGTTTTCCAGTCCTACTTTGAACAACCTGTGCCGATTTGCCATATGGACCTTTTACACAGCAGCCATTTATATTTAAGAAAAGCACATGTGTCACTGATAGCATAAATGATGGCTCGGCTCTATTCAAGTGTCTCAACAGTATGAGCCAGCATGCACAATTCTTGGGGAATTTCGATTGCCTCTCAATGGCTTTCAACATGTCGACGGCAAGCTGGCGGCTCATAGCTAACGGTGCTAATGGTGCTAACAGCACTGACAGTGCAAACTACGGCGACGATGTTATCAGCTGTTACCGCAGCATGAGAGCAGTGAAAAGCAGCGGCCTCGAGCCAACCAGTGGGGCACCCTCACGTGCACTAACATGCACTAAAAGCACACACTGCCAGACCTGCGTCTACTTTAGAACGTCAAAATGTCTTATCAGAAAAGGACCAATGGTGCATGTCAATTAAACCACAGTTGCAACACAAGCTATTTAATTACTAGAAGGCTGTGGATTGGCAGTTTTCAGGTGTAAATGTTTAGCAGTGCTTGGCTCAGCGAGGTCGTTTGCTCTTTATTCACAGATGTTACTCACTCCTCGCCTCCAGGAAGACCCGCAGCGCCTCCGGATCCACCTTCCTCCGATTGGGAGCCTCCAGCTCCAATCCGTCCCAGGGCACGAAAGCCGGGTCGGCCCCGTGGTCCAGCAGCAGGTGGACGAAGGCCACCTCACATCCGTGTCGCAGCACGGCATCCAGCAGGCAGGAGGCCAGGCCGCGGGACAGAGCCTCTTGGCAGACGGGCCCCGTGTAGTTGAAGTCAGGCTGAGCGCTGGCCTGGAGCAGCAGCCGGAAGCAATGGAGGTGGTGGTAGGCCGCGCTGATGTAGAGAGGACACACCACCAGGGTGTTGAGGGTGCGAGCGCTTAAGAGGAGCCGGGGACCCAGCTGGTGGTCCATGTTTACATCAGCTTTGAACCTGGACGGAGGGAACCATGAACACGGTTTAACTTTTTTTTTTAAACCTTCATGCCCTCTGAAGAAAGTACACGTATAGGTTGATTGCAAAGAAAATCGTCTTGAAATAAAACATTTTGAGAAGGCATTCTTTACTATAGATGTATGGTCCAAATTTAGCCAATATATTGTGCAAACAAGGTATGTGTCTACATCAAAACGTTGAGGGTCAAATTGAGTTTCAATCCGCTCAGAATGTTTCTTCTCATTAAATATTTATGTGTCCATGTGACTGCTGTCCCACGTGGGTGATTGGTGGGACCCCCAGCGTGCGATTGTTTTTGCGCATTCTGGGAAAGTTTAAAGACGTAAAATAACCAAACTGCTGCCTGAAGCAATGGAACATATTGCATCACACAGCCAGTAGTAAATCAAAACGCTGACCTCTAGATAATCCACTGCCTAAACAAAAGATAAAACTAATACTGTAAAAAGAAATAAAATAAAATAAAATAACGAGGAGGCTCAAAGATGGACTAGTTTGGCATGGAGAGCACCACCAGTAGTGGGAGAGGAGAGAAAACAAAGGAAGGACAAGTGACAATACTTACGATCCTCTCCTGCCCTCACCTGATGAGCTCCTGCAGTACGTCCATCCTTCCCACCCGCGCGGCGTGGTACAGCGGAGTGCTGCGATGGTGGCGACTTCCGTTGGGGTCGGCTCCGGCCTCGAGGAGGATCCGGACACAGTCCAGGTGACCGTTCACCACAGCTACGTAGAGGGCCGTCTGACCTTTCACGTCGACCAGGTCCACCACGGCGCCCTGGGCGATCAGATAGGCCACACAGGTGGCGTGTCCTGCCGTAGAGGCGATCCGCAGAGGGGTGCAGGGCAGACAGCCACAGCACCAAACAGACTTCTCATTGATGCGCCTAGCACCAAAGGGAGAGAAGGGAGTCGTTATTGGTCTTAACCCGAGATGCAACACGTTGGATTTGTCATGCTTGCACTTACGTGAAGTTTTATTTTTTATTTTTTTTAAATAATAGCAGGCCAATGACCGTAACACCACATTAAAAACAACAAACTTAGCAAAGTCTTAAAAATATCATTGCTGTGTGGTCATCACAAATTAAATATTTACCACAGCTACCTGCTAAAATGAACTACTTTCAACACCACTGCCCCGGGGGCAAGTTGGGTAAGGCGGGGCAGGGAGAACCCAATGAAGGAAAAAAAAAAAGAAAGTGTTTTATTGAAATAACAGCATGTTGTAAACCCTGTGGAATAGAGATGAACTGTCCTAAGCCAGTAATAATGGGTTGGCTGGGTGTGGAGTACGAGTGCTGCATACAACCGCTGTGGGATTGGGGTTAAACGAGTGCTGACCGCTCTAAGATGGTCCCGCCTGGCTCTGATATTGTGAGCATGTACACGTTTCAGCACCTGTATGGATGCTCTCTCTATGCCAGAGAAGTATTACAGCCCCACCGTGGCCACCAACAATAAACCACGACGCACACATTGAGGAAAAGGATGCGTTTGGTTGTAGCACCGTAAGGGCAATGAGGATGAAAGCTCCCAGCGTGCGGGCGTGTGTTATGCAGAGACTGTTTTGTGGCAGAGACGTGTGAGGGCATATTCTGTACGCCATGTGCTTCTCTCGGGCCGTCACTCAACAAACCTACCGAACAAACCCACACAGCACCACAAACCACTTAGTGCCACACATGAGCACTCTGGACAGAAGCTGCCATTTCTGCAGAAAGACAGAGCACGCAGCGCGACGGTTGAAACAAACAAAACAAAATACGTCTATGTCAACAGAATCGTATTAGATTCATATCACAACCATCACTCCCTCCCACCGTCTGAAGCTGTCTTCCTGCAGCAGGTTCCTTAGGGTGTCCAGATCTCCGACGTAGGCCGCATTGTGCAGCCGCATGTCATCCTGCTCCAGGGGTTTGTCGCAGAACTGCTCCTGGAGCCATTCCTTCAGGTTACGGCCTGGGGAGGACACACAGGTAAGAAACTGCTGAACTGTGGCTTGTTGTGCAACCAGCGGAAACGCCAAAGCACTAATGCGCTGACGATTAGTCATCTTTTAATACTTATTCATGCTGAATGACTGATGAGCATATCCCTGGTACACAACCAAAACAAAACTGTTTTACAGATCTGTCGATTAAGTCAACTAATTGATTAATCGACAAAATCGTACGAGTGTTAGTCTACTAACAATTTCTTTGGTCGAGGACAGCCTTAGTGTTTGATGTTTCAGACTGTACAGGATATTGTGAAAATACACCAATCAAGTATTTGAGAATCATGCATTTGACAGTGCTTTTCTCACTGCATATTAATTGGTTGCATAACTGCATAACAAGTGTCCCTGATGAATGTGGAAAGAATCAGTCATTTTGTTGTATAGTGACTCCCTGAAACCCTCATGGACAGCTGGCGGTCCCTGGGCTCATATTGTGGGACCCACAAACAAGACAAGATCGTCCACAGTAACAAAAACACCATAGAACTACATCAAGACCTCTCTGAAACAAAACAAGCTGCCTAATATAATGAATGCAGGGCTATGGTGTTAAATTGCATTTTATTGTGCACTTGTTGAATATATGCATAAGAGCTCTAATGGTCCGAATGCGTCCATTACAACTCTGTGACGACATTGGGCCACACCTAATTAAAAAGGGAGTCAACCTCAATAACAACACCTCTGTGTCACTGTTACTGAAGTCTTCCTGTTGTTGTCTACTGCCGTCCTGCACGTGGAGGATGCACACAGCACCCCTCGAGAGGACCGATGAATCATTGGGCACATTCATGGGTACCTGCTGCTGTGGCGCTGGGCAGATCGGAGACAGTGATGAGCGGGGGGAAACTGATACTGGGCGGGTCGTCAACATCAGCCTCCGGACCGTCGGCCATGCTCCCGAAATGTCACTGGAACTGGCGCTTCTTCAGGCAGGAGATCGAGACCGCTTCCCCAAAACACGGTTATAACAAACAAACAAGAGAGTCAGATAAGACACATAACGTGACTTGTGTTGATGACGGAGTCTTGCCTGCGTAACTTCCTGACTGCGCTCAGCTGAGCGGATTTAAAGGGGAAACGTCGCTTTAAATGCCCGACCCTGAAACTGTTCAACACCTTATAAAAAGTAGACAAATGGTGTCAAATATAAACAATTCAAAAATGATTATGTAAAGAAATACTTTCCAATGATACATAAAAAGGAAACAAATATTGCATGAAACACTAATGTCAATGTAAAAAAATGAGGTTCTTTAAATCCCAAATTCGGAAGAAAAAACTAATTTAGTTGGTCTGAAACAAGTATAATTTAAATATACAGAGTCTAAGATATTGGAATCGGCCAATGAATGACCTCTTGTTAGTTTTTTGATGTTGTAAAAATGTAATACAGGACATGTCCTCAGCATCATCAATATCCTTAAAGTAACAGTTTGTAGCTTTTAGGGGGATCTATTGGCAGAAATGCAATATAATATTAATACGTCTGTTCCCTTTAGTGTATAATCACCTTCAGATAACAATCGTTGTGCTTTTGTTGCCTTAGAATGAGCGCTTTATATCTACAAACAGCAGGTCCTCTTCACGGAGCCAGCCGCCGGGTTTTCTCAGTTGCTTATGACCTGCAACCTCACCGCCACATGCCTCCAAATCCTACACACTGCACCTTTAATAGAATGGCGTGGCTGATCTTTGGTAATGACAACTGCTATGAATCAAGCCCACCTCCCTGTACCGAAAGAAATACCGGATCCATGGAAAGGAGTTTAGCCTCATCAGCTACAGCTCCTACACAAGGGTTAGGCATTCTGTTTAGCTGCACTGAAAATGCTGTGTCAACTGTCTTTCTGACTGTTGATCTACGGTAAGTCATATTTGAGTGGGTAACATACACCAGGGAGGCATTCAGCCTCTGAGGCCCTGGTGGTGCTCTAAAAATGCATGGACAGTTCAACACCTGCCCCGTGTCCCTAAAAGTGGACCGGTCGCTAACATACAAAGACAAAGCTGTTTCATGGAGGAAAATTCTGAAATTCAGTTGTATCGATCATCAGATATCAGTTCATGGAGCAGTGATTTGCAATTATAATTTTGAGACTTACGTTATTAGTTATTGTAAGCTTGCAGCCAGATTCAAACCCATACTATCACAAGACCTGGGGTCATAGTACGCAGCTCATCCTACTGATTGCAACCATCAGAGTAATGACCATTCAATAGTAATTTAATTAAGGCTGGACAATGTCAGATCGGAGAGGTTATGTGACCGCTCCCAACCCTGGCATTGTGTTTTTTCCACACAAAGTGTAGTTTAATTATTATTAAAGTAAAAAAAAATAAAAGTGATTGGGCCTAACATAAGGATTAGTGGGTACGTGTGGACAACAAAAGTGAAAGTAAAAGATGTGGTCACTCATTAGCAGCCAGATCCATTGTAAAATTCAAAGGGTAAAGTCAACAGAGTCTTTTTTTAAATAGTGAAGATTAAAAGGGAAACGCAGATGGATAATGGAGCTGTCCTTTCCTCGGACTGCGCTGTGGCCTTATCTTAATCCACCTGTTGAGACTGGGGCCAGCGTCTTTGTCCGTGCCTTCTGCTCGGGGGCCTTCAGATAAATCTGACTTGCATCACAAATGCTCTGTCCAAACCTTGCTCAATAGCCGTTAAAGGGGCTTCCTAATATGCTTTGTGCGTGTTGCAGCTGTTTCATGGCTTGCCAGATGGAGAAAAAAAAAATGTTGCTGCTAATGTTACTTGAGGTTCTCAAAAAGAACAGTTAAATGTTTTACTTCTGTCATGTCGGTCTAGGCTTCAAAAGAAAAGGAGTCCCGTTGAGAGTGTGACTTGGCCGTGCCAGACGCCTCAAGGACTTCACATGCATGAACTCGTCAAAATCATAAACCAGGGCCGTTTATCATTTCGCTCACACTGTAACTCCAGCGATCCAGACCTCTCATTACGTCTCCATTATAAGGCCAACTTTTCTCTCAACTACTCTCAGCAACAGTCGCCACTCTCCGTTGACTCTTAAAAACAAGGAGAAACAAGTATTTACTGCAATGTAACCGTTTATTTCACTCCACTACAAAATTATATAATTATCTGAACTATGATACAATCTCCACATATACATAATGTACAGTTGAAAGAGAAACAGAGATTATGATACAAGTACTTTACATTGTTACATATAAGACATATAAACACGCAGGGTCTCACCTTTCCACAAGTTTTGTATGTAGTTTTCAATAAGTTACTTTGATTATAATTGATGGACTAAACATAATAATGAGGTGAAAAAGATGTAAAATCAGACTAAATGAGAGTTTTAACTTTGGAATCCTCATAGTGACTGGCTCTCAAAAAGATCAGTCAAATGAATAGAATTAAAAGTACCACAGAAGAAATGCAGCTTTTGAAAGATTAATCAGAGTAACTTTGCTTTGTTTCCTGTAGCTGTTGATGCCCATGAACATTTCTTCCCACTGGCAACCTCTGGTACTTGCTGTCTGTTCTGCCAGAGTAACAGCTTCCAGCTGTATTGAGGTGTTGTGCCACCTATCCTCACACACGTTGATCTGACGAGAAAGTGGAAGTGGAAACCTGTGTTTGGGCAGATGTTTTGAAGTCCTAGCTACTGTATGTATGGTTGTCACATTAACATCTGGAAAAAAAAGCTTTGTGAATAAAAATAAAAAAAATATTAAAATAATGGATTCATCAATCCAACCAAATGTTTTTTTTATATTTTGTGTAAACACTGGGAGTCAATACCTGAAGTAGAACTAGAGGTAGCAAACGCACTTGTGCAAGTAATAACAGCAATGTGAAGTTACGTCGGTACTAAATATGTTAACTGCATTTTCAGAGTGAGACAGGCCACTATGCAAGGAATCACGGCTGACTAGTTGAATCTTGTTTTGTTATTTGAATTTCATTCACACATTATTGGAACTTTAAGGAACACTGGGACAGTTTCCAACTGCAATTATCAGCCGAGTATTGCTTCAGATTGTCATATTTGCTACATCTGTAAAGCATATTTCTTAAAGTCACAACAGGAGCGAGTAACATTATGGTATAATTATTTTTTCCCGTATTTATAAAGAATAGGAATGAAAGTTTACACAAAAAGTTGCCATCTGACCAAACATTGTCTTCATCCCAAGAAAGAAACAATTTGGCAAATCCTAAAGTAGAAATAAAGTGCAGGGATCTCCACAATGGCGGCCGTCTGAGTATTGCTTTTTACAAGATGGGATATGGTTGTTGTAAGCAGGCAAAGGTTGCTGAAAAACAGAATAAATCTTTTCTTTTCTTTTTTTTAGTAAGAGTAGCTTGAAGAAGAAGGAAGCTTATAGAAAAATGTTTGGAAGCAAAAGTAAAGCTCAGTATGACATGTAAAAGGTCCCAGGACACCACATCATGTCACATACATTTCAATCAGCTAAACCATCAGGACTCCCACATAAGTCCTACATTTCTCCATGCAAGCCCCAGGAAATGTATTTGAACACAGGAATACTTCATTACTCATGTATAGCTAGTTCAATAGCACTATAGCAGATGTAATATTCATCTTAGAAACAGCATGAACTAGATCAAAAGACTGCTTCCTAAGTTCCCCACAGCCAGGAAAAATGAGAGGTGAGGCAATGAAACCAAAGCAACCACAATGTGCCACAGTTTTGTTTTGCTAGGTTAATAAAAATACAAAAATAAACAAGTGTATAGGTTTTAAAATTAGGTCCAGGGATTGCTGAGTGTAGAACAAATCATTTTTATGTTTTATTATTGTGTATTTTGGAATATATAGGGCTATTGATGAAATCACCCAGCATTAAATGCAACTATTAAGTCTAACTGTTCACTGACTCATTCCACAAAGGCACCATTACAGAAAAGGGGTAAACGATGGCTACGGTTAGTGTGCAGAGCAGGAAGATATTTTTATTATCAATTAATTCAAGCATCCATCAGTGACAGCAGATGTTAGAGTAGAGTCAGACCGCCAAGCCATCATACGGAGCTTTTATTTACCAACACCTGACTGATATGTTTGGGTCCATCTCCTTTCTGACAAAACCCCTCAAAGTGCAATGTTTGGTCCCATCCCACATCACCTCCAAGAAAAAAACTAAATGGTCTTACCATTATTCTGAATGAGACACTGTTCATCCCTAAATCCTCAGTGCATTTATTTAGTACAGGTTTTCTTTGTAGACCTTGTTCCTAACTTTATGGCCTGGAGGAGAAGTTGATTCCCATCACCATCTTCTGGATCTTCTCCTCATTCCTCAGTATGTTGGACCTCACAGCACAAATCTTGTCCTGCTGGTCCTTGATGAGCTGCTCCAGCTCAACGAGCTCCGACTTCAGAGGCTCCACCGCCCTGTCTGTCTCTCTGCAGCATTAGCATGCAAACGCACGTACAAACACACAGAAGGGATGATGAATTTGCTAACATGCAATAACATAAAAAACAGGTTGAGAAAGTGTCCACCGTGACCAGAAAACACAGTAACGGAACAATTAGCTGTTAGAAAATGTTACTCAAGCAGCCACCTTAGAGTTGCTCATCACTTTTTATTTAAGATAACAATGAATCACACATTTAAAATGACAGTGTGATTATATCCACACATGACCTGTGTTTTCATAGAAAAAATGGCATATGGTAGTAGCTTAATATAAATTATGATGACTTTCCTGTGAAACAGCAAAACAAAACAAAAATCAGTAAATTCAATGTTAAGATGGCTCCCTGCATGAGAAAGCGGCTCAACATTTTCAGCGTGTTGTGTGCGAGCCGACCTCACCTCTGCTCCTGTAGCAAGGCCTGTGCGTGCTCCTTGTTCTCCCGCCGCCAGGTGTTCAGCTCAGCCTGCATGGCGTCCATGTCCTCCTGTATGTAGTCCATGATCTTACCCAGGGGCAGGGCGCTGCGGCACACCGTCTGGATGGATGAGCGGAGCCGCTCTATCTCCCGCGTCACCATGTCCCGCTCTTTCTTCCTTGCCGCTTCAGACACCACGTTCTGGAAGAGGAGGAGGAGAATGCGATGGGTGGGGGGGATGAAATCGTTGGTGCTGTCAACTTACAAAAATTTCTAGGAGTGCGCTGTACATGTTGGTATTTGAGGAATGATTAATTCAATTTCAAATGCAGATGCAAGGCTTAAAAGGCATAGAAAGAAATTTTCAGTGGACAGCGGTGGTTGGACAGCGGTGGTTGGACAGCGGTGGTTGGACAGCGGCGGCTCACCAGTGTGGCCGCTCACATGCACTAAAAGCAAGCGCGGCAACTCCGGTTATGTCAACAAAAGATGGAGAAGCTCTTATAACAACACACACACTGAATTCAGTCTCAGGTAGACATTACTCCACTATATCTTTACATTGCAAATAGTTGTTTGCTGCTATATTAATGCTCTGAATATCAAATGTAGCACCTTTAAACCAAACCGTGTATCAAACAGCTGGAAGAACACACACAAAAATCACTTGTGCTTCCTGAGACCAAAACATAACAAACCCTCTTTAAGAATTCTACCTTTGCCAGCAGAGGCTCAAATGTCCAGAACCAGAGCAGGGCTGCATTTAGTGGTTTAGGATTTCAAGGCTAGAAATGTTAGGCAGGAATTCCACCAACCTAGCTGTATATATAAAGATCAAAGGTGCTGCTGAATTGTGTTGGCCAAAAGTATGGGGACTGGTTGATGAAGGCCTCCAGTGTATGGTTGTTGGGGGGATGGGGGGGTTTCACCATATCCAAATTACACTCGGTCCCTCAATGGCAAAAAGGAGGGGGTGAGGTATCAGGGATAGCCCTCCCTTGGCAGGGAGCAAATCCAAGGATGTTTGCTCAGCTGGGCTTCGCAAGGCCTCTGAGTGTGCGTATGCGTGTGCGTAATGCGAAAGCAGTCAGTATTGCAAACCTAAAGCCACACACACACCAAGCGAAGTCTGAGGCGAAGCATACAGTTGGACACGCACAGCCCCTCTGCACTCTCGATCTTTAAGTCTTGTTTATTTTAGTAACAAGCTGTGGCAGCGGGGTTATTTTACTACAGTATTGAGTAACAACTACTACACTTATGGCTCCTTTCAAGTTCAACCCGTGGGCCAATTTATACCAATCGGCTCCACAGATGGGAGCACCTGCCCTCGTGAGGCAGCGGGGAATCATATTCACGACGGTGTGTAAACCGAGTGACAGCTTCCTCTTCAAAACACACAGCCTGTCACACACGCTTGGCGTGGCTGGCACATACATCCTTATCGAAGCCATCTCTCAGAACAAACCAAACAGCTCAGCAATTACAGTTTGAGAAGGCAGCTTGACTGGACACGACCACACTGCAGGAATGACATCAAGCGTCACCGTTTTGCCATCGTGTCTTTTACAGGAAGGCAAGTACAAATTTCCGACAGCCTCGCTCTTTGTTACCTACTTGAGGCGGTTCAAGAGTGCGAGGGGTTGAAATGCCTGGGCCCAGCGCTCCCCATAACAAGGTGGGTGGCTTTCCACTGGGCGCTCTGGACCCCGCAGCTAGACAAACACTCCACGGCTCATTCGGCCTGCGGTCTGGTCTGCGCGGCCCAGACGGGACCCATGGCTTCATTCTATTTGCCGTCCTCTTGGCTACCCTGCCCCTCAACCCCCCTCCCGCTCCCTCTCCCTCGGAAAATAATAAAAAAAAAAAAAAAAACTCGGAGTGAAAACATGACCCCTAGTTCGTGTGCACTCTGTCCAGGTGGATATAAATCACAGCTTTATGGAGGTCTCTGTCGGGGTCTACGAGACCTGTGTGCTCCTAGTTTTCCTTTTTCTCACCCAGATCACAGAACAATATTTAGACGTGGTGACCGCAGAGGTGCAGGAGGTGAGAGAGAGGAGGAAGGGGTGGAGACAGGGAAAGGTTTTCCCATTATCTCAGACAGTGATGAAAGCCCCAGGCAATGGGGAAGACACAGCCGCTGGCTGGAGCTAGAAAGGGCAGGTGGACTAAAAAAAGGGGGGGGGGGGGGGTTGTCGCTTTTAAGAGTTTTATACCTACAGAACTGTTTGTAGATTGAGATGTCTCCATCTTGTGGAAGTACATAAATAAATACTTTCATCTTGTTTTCATCAGTACTTACTGTACGTTGTTGGACTGCAACTAAGTTGTTGAGTTGAAATCTTTCATCTTAACTACAACCTCTCTGCTTAGGTCTCCGTCAAAAGGAGGGAAAACAGGATGAAATAATTTCACCCGGTTATCGGACGTCCAATCGGCATAATTTGGAAGTTTGTGCAAATATGTGATTTATGGACTGGAGGCAAGAGGAAGACATTCCTCAGTCTCCTTTGACAAGAAAAATGGCGCGCATGGAGAGAGGCCGACAGTGGCGGAGCAACCTCTGGGGTATCATTAGCTGGGAAAGCAATCATTTAGACAGCAGGAGATTAGCCTCCATCATAGGGAGAGATGCTTCATTACTGGACATTAATCAGCTTCACTTGGAGGATGAGAGACAAGTGTACAAACCTCTCGTTAGAGCCGTTTAGTCAACATTCAAGTTGAATAAATTTAAGGTCAAGTTATAGTCGTTACAGTAGGTTGTGCTCAAATGTCACTCTTCATGAACTCAAGCGAACTGCTCTTCCATCGTCACAAACACACAAAAAAAAAACATGCAAGAGATTCAGAGCTTCTGGGGAACAATTCTACTGGCTACTGGTGACCATTTGAAGACACTGAAGCGCATCCCAGTGCTTTTTACAATGTGTTGCCCCGTAGGAGATCTGGTGAGCAAAGCACAGAGTGAGTATGGGGCTCTGGGACGTTGTTTATGGGCTTCCTCGTCATTTTTCATAGCGGGCCGCTCACAAGTCTAGCTAGATCATAAAAATAGCTTGGAGTCAGTGAGGTGAGGAGAAAGGATGTTGTTGTAAGGCCACTGTAGCCCCTTGGGGAGACAATTGAGATCACCACCCCGGGCTACGAGGTGAACTGACAGAAACCTTCCAAAAGGGTCCAACTGCAGTAACTGAAAATGTAAACTGGATTTCTCTTCTTATTTTTAAGGAGGTTGCTCATCATTCAAAACATTTTCGTGGAGAGAAAAAGCAATTTTGAAAGGTTGGAAGATACTACTCCTAAACATAACTGTGCACGATTGAGGTCTGGTCGGCTGACAGATTGTGGGTGCTTCAGGTAGGTACTCCTCATAAACCTGACCCCACGCCTCTAACGAGTCAGTATGACCTCTACAAAAGTAATATGACTAATGGAATGCCACAGGGCCATTTCCTTATGTTTCCACAAAAAAGATGTTTATAAAGACACAGAGGTCTGCAGAGAGGAGTATTTATTTTCTTGACAATTCTGCAGAGAGTATTCTGGCCCTTCCGCTCCGTGACTCTCACTCAACAGCAATCCATTCGTATGCCACAGGGTTTATTTATACATTACAAACCATCATCAAGGCTAATTTGGTGGGGGGAAAAGAGTACACAAAAAAATCTTATGAAAACGCAGCTGCTGCAAGGGGCAGATTCTGTCTAAATAAAAAGAGAGCTATCTTGGAATAATATACAATACCGCCGAGGGGGTCATGAGGAAGGGCATCCCCATAAATATACAGCAAATTCTTCAGTCACACACACCACTGTGGTGGGACACGGCGAATACAATCATTTGCCTGTTTAAGAATTCCCTGTATTTACATTAGCGGCAATGTGGCAACTATGCACTGGCTTAAACAATAGCTAAAATAATTCAGAAATGACAGAGAACATAAATTACAATGCGGGTAAGAATGTGTAGTTTGGATTTTCATGAAATATATACGAAATGGTGCAAAGGTCGCCATTTTTTTTTTTAACTGAACATGATGCCGGATCTTAAATCAGGGTGGTTTGTGACTCAGTGTTTTGATAAACATCGGCCTTTAAGAAAATGAATAGCGGCAGCTGAAATCTCAAACCCGTCCGTCATACCACATTGAATGAGGAAGCTCAATATTTACATTTTTGACCCTGCGTGTTTTACCGTGATTACAAGTAAAAAGAAGAAAGAAAAAAAAAAAAAACTACTCAATTAGGTTGACCTCTCCACCGTTTCATGTCAGGAAGGAAGTCATTACAGTTCTTTATACAGCTGACGAGGTAAGGCCAATAATGATGGAGGGCTGGACTGAACAGTTGCTATGTCCAGACATACCTGTTAGAAGCTGTGTGTGCACACCGTACAGGATACTCTGAAATGAAGCTCTGAAAACTGAGGAGGCTCCATTAAGAAAATTAGGATAAACTCTACGAGGCTATGCAACGCTCACGTTCCACAAAGAGCTCTTCCATTTTGGATGTTTTCCTGTGTGTCTGTGCATGTATGTTTTGGTGCATAGTTTCTTTAGATACATTCTTTTTAAGAGAAGAGCGGGTCGTATGGAGTGATGTGAAAATTTCACGTCATGGCCAAAGTAATTGCGATTCACAATGTAATCCCGATAATCATACAAATATGCTTAATATGGCACCAAAACATACTGGAATCACTTTACCTTACATTTTGTTAAGAAACAATTGTTTGTTTTGCTTCACAGATAGGACACACATCCTTTTTATGTGAGAAACAAACTCTTGAATAAGGTAATAATAATAAATCATAAGGTCCACCTGCATAAATTAAGGATACATTTTAGAAAAAGCAACATTGCAGGAGTCTGTTCTTTCTTAGCCTACATATTACTTTACTTTTGTAGGCTCTATTTTTCACTTCTTCATCATGACAATGAGCTAGAGAGCTTTTTCAAGTCGTGACGATATTCATGATTATCCCAATAATGGAAATTTACCCCAATCTAATTATTATGGGTATTTTATTATTACACACACACACACACACACACACACACAAGGTTGGTTAAATGCCTGGCATACAAATTCCCGACAAGCTATTTCAGTTTACTGGTGGCAAAGCTTGAGACAACTTCAGGTGTGAGTTACGAGGGATGCTGTCTGAGGCCGCCGTTAGGAGGAGATAGGTCGGGGGATTTTTTTTTTTTTTGCATGAGTGCCAGTCCAAAACAGAGCATCCATCAGAGTCAGGGTGGTCAGCTAGGAAGGGATGCCGGGAGAGTATGCTTCAGTGAAGAGGACCACCCAAAGCAAGACAGCGTACGCCGCCTTACACCATGGACTGCAGACCAAACTGTAAGCTTCACACTGATTCACACTCAAAATAACAATGAGAGACGGCTCTCTCTAAGGCTGATGAATAAACTGACGGAGGGGACTGCATGATCAACAGCAGTAATGCGTCACTTTGAAAAAAAAAAAAAAAAAAAAAGTCTAATATGAAGTCTAAATCAAAGAGTTGAGAAGAAAGTAGGACCTTTAAAAGAAAAGCTGATAACTGAGTGCATTGGAGTTTAAATGGAGGACTGAAACCTCCCACTGGTTGTGCATTGTCTATTTTCTGGAATAACCGAAGTACACACTAGGGGAGGGAGTGTGAACAGCCAGAACAAGATTGCTCTGAAAGCTAGTCTCCAAGATGGCAGATACCCCCTAAACTGTACACAGAACAGAGAAGTCTGTAATAATACAACAAATCAAGCATACCTAAGATATTGAGCAACCCCAGAAAACAGGCTCCAGACATCTTGATGCGTGTTTCAATTGCGTGTGGTCTGCCAGAGGGCACATTTGCTTATTAGCCCCTCAGCCTCACCGAAGGGGAGCATATTTGTGGTTACGAGGCGGTGCAATTACACCTCTCCACTCCATTTGTTTATATCTTTCTTTTCATAATAACCAGTGTTGCACTGGGCCGTTCACTGTGGTTCAAACATTTGCGCTGGAGAGCAAACCTCCGAGAGAGACCGGCTGATAGAACGAGTGGCGAGGTTTAAAGGGAGCTCCGAGTCACTGATAAGGGTGAGCGGAAGAGAACTAGGCCGATACTGCCCTCTAGAGGAGAAGCAGAATAACTACTGCTGTAACTGCACGTACCTGCTCTTTAGACTTGGGGGAGGACGGGGACAGTTCATAGTCTTTCTTGGTCTCGAGGATCTTTTTCACGAGGCCACCTACAGTGAGAGAAGCAGTGAGAGGAACAGTGAGAAATGTGTTTCCTCACAGCACCAGGTGATTAACTCAGCAAGAAGACAATCAGGATACGACCGCGTACCATGTTTGTCTTCACTGTCGAGCTCTTGCCCCTGAAATGGAAAGAAAAAATATATTAGATAACTATCTGCTGTAATCTCATTGTATTTGAACAACTCGCTGTTGAAGTCACATACCACCTCCACCTCAGGAGCATCTGAGGGCGGAGGGACCGCCTCCTCCACGAGAAACTGCTTGTCTTCATCCTCCTCATCCTCAGACAGCATCTTCCCATCCATGATGACTGGTGCTGAGGGCTTGGCACTGGACAGCCTGGTAGGCAGACAGAGAGCATGACTCATTTCTAACTGAAAACTACGCATAGCATTCACTGTGAGAAGAGACGTGTGCCATCTTGTAGACACCTTTGTCCAGTGTAACTGTTGACTGGTTAGACCTGCTCTATTATAACACAGTTACAAAACGCTATCTTCATTCGGTGCGTTTCCTGCATTTACTTTAGTAATGTAAGTAGTGATCCATGTCTCCCGCTGGCAGGGATGACACTGAAGAATGTATTGAGAAAGAAGAGGAGGACGTATGGCATTAGTGAGCATGTGTGGTGAAGTCACCTCTCAGCCGGGGTCACTTCGGAGTAACTTTCCTGTTTCTTGACTCGAGGGGGTGCTGGACGAGCACTGCCGGGCCGTGGTATTCGCCTGTTGTTGCAGATTAAAAGGATTACACACATAACTGAAATAAGATGTTACACTAACCATCTTGGAACTAAACATGGGTGCATTTATACAAGTCATTTTCCTTTGGTTTCACAGGCTATGTTTTTGTTTTTTATTGACTTCCTTTACAGGCCAACTCTTCTGTTAGCAGCTCTCTGTGATTTGCAAGATGTCGACTTTGTGACAGCTTCACTGAGTCGTTCAGATTTCAGGATGATAATTGTTGCTCGGAAAACAAAACACACAACAAAAACAGCGATAATACAGCTGCCCAGCCAATCGACTGTCTCCGATTAGTTGGTTAAAAACATAGAACATTTGTAATTATCAAAATTAAAAGGCAATGATTCAACTGTGTAATCTACTGGAACAGGAACAAACCAGCCTGAACTTTAAACAAATAAAGAAATTGGATAAAATGCAATGCAATTGGTCCTACACACCTACATCTTCTAGAACAGATGACCTACTGCATAATACTCCAAAAATAATTGGAAGAACGACGATGGGAAAAATGGTGTGCTGATTTAACTAATGAGACAGATCCTTCAGAATTATTGTTCTCATCAGGTGAAAAATTGTCATAAACAAAAAGAAAAAATAAGAAACTACCACATAATTTAAATAACATCTTAAATCTTCTTAACAAAAAATGTGCACGTACATGTTTGATAGATGATTGTGAGAGCAGCTTAAATAATCAAAGTGAGATTTCTTTTATTGTTTGACAGTTAATGGGAGCTGTCTTTGTTTTTTAAATTGAATAGTAATGCTAGATCAATACCCTGTACCTCAGCAGAGTGCTGGTGAAATGATTAAAGGTTGAGTGTTGACTGTACAGACCTGGAGGCCATGTCGGACGGCACTGAGGAGCCTGCAGTGTCTCCATTTTCCTGGGGAGCAGGTCTCTGGGCTAACAGAGCATCTCCGTCTGTGAAAGGACAACAACGACTTATAGTTAGCTCAGTGTAATACAGCAAAGGATTAGATCTATCCTCCGCATGGTGGACGCTGACACTAATGTACATACCTTTACAACAAGTTCATACAGTACCAATGTTATTTATATGGCTTAAATGCTACCAATCTGACAAAGCTACAGCTAGTTCAAGACACTGTGGCAAAAGGACACGTACATTTAGCATTGTAACTTCAGCCGTAGCCGCCGTGCATTGACTTTCAACCCATTAAGGCTGACTTGTGAGTTCTCCTTCTAAAACTCCACAAACCCTTTACATACTCTAAACTCTGAGCAGGCGATTTGGGCTTGGAAAGATTGCCTCATAAATGGATTTTATCCTTTTAGACTTAACTCTTAACGTATCTGGAATTTCAAACTTTTTGTTTATTTCTGCAAATGTCCTTAACTCACCTACTGCTTCTACTTGATTGTTCACCTCACTGTGTAAAGATGGGGGATTTCATGTAGTTAGGGCTTCTTTGAGGATTTTCTCGTTGTCTTCTAGGAGAGTTTAGTCTAGGTCAGGAACCGTTGCTTTAGTAATCCTGTAAAGCCCTTGAGACATCATATCTGATATTGAGCTTGACTAATAAACCTGACTGACTTGCTCAGACACCTTAAAAAAAGCATGTTGTTGCCCTAGATCAGTTAGAATGTCACTCAGTCCCTCAGTGAGTGATTGTACTTACTCTGTGACTCAAAGAGCACTCTGACTCATTGGGGAAGACACTTCTTTGTCCCCCGATCCTTGTGCTTTCAGTACTGAATTAGTAGGGCGCTTACTTCAAAGTCACAACCAAATATGGGTTATTTGGTGTATTTATGGAATTGATCAATTTCAATACTGTCTTTTTCTATTATTGAAATTTACCAAGGCAATCCTCAAAATGCATTTTAGATGAAGCGCACCAACTCTCCTGTCATGTTGACACTAATTCCCACATGGAGAATTCGTGTGTGAATGTTAATGAGACAGATAGAGAATAATTACCTCCCTCGCTGTCAGATTCATCTGTTGGAGAGCAGAACAAGAAGAGGCATTGTTAGTTTCATTACCAGTGCAACTATGGAAATAGTTACAGATCAATGTAAATATGGAGTATGAAAAACCAAACCAATAGGCTGTTTATCTTTGTAATATTTTTATTTTATTTTTCTTAATGTCAGTTCCTATGAAGCTTTTGTTGACACTGCCAACAGTAATCCTGATGAGTCACTACTACCTCCCGCTAAGTGAAACCAGTCAGTGATTTTATTAGACATGGAGGAATGCACATAGAAAGCCTTCAACTGTCAAATCTATTTGGATGCACTAAGAGCCCCTTTGTCAATAATAAAGTGCAGTTACTTTAGACAGCTGGTTTACCTATGCGAGGTATGCCTCATTGGTGTAGCTGATTAAAATATGGTGCTGGGGAAGAAAGGAGGGGATTACCTTGACCTCCAATTTTGGGTCTCCGCCTCTGCCCTTTGGCAGATGCAGGCCGAGGTATTCTAGCTGGACTGTCAGACTGTGAGAGAAGCAAAGACAAGCAGGCAAAGGATACAAGTTTAGGACAATAAGCACTGAAAAGCCACACATCACTCACTGACTGTTGGTGATTTGGAGGAGCGCTGTCTTGGACCTCTCTCTATTGTGCCATCCTTTCATGATCATTCATCATTATCTTTGGTAAGCTTGAGGTACACTGAGGTACGGTATAGTGCAATTAAGCCCCAATAAACATGGAAAATTATTATTTAAACCATGCATACAGACAGACCTCTACACACAAAATACAAAAGTTAAAAGTTATGGGAATTCAGTTGGTTGCAATCTGCAACCCCACCACTAGATGTCACTATATCCTACACACTGGTCTTTTGAACTGCTGACAAACATACCCTGAAGTATCATACTAATAATAACAAAACATTGGAATTTAATGAAGTGTAGCAACCCCCCTTAAAAAAGCAACAAGGCGAAGCTAATGAAAAAAACAACAACTGTGATTCGCAGATTAAGATCTTACCTGGTTCTCAACTGCTTCGGCAGGCTAAGAAGAACACAATATTACATCACACACACACCAAGTACTCACATTTAGGCAATTATACAGGTAATAAGAGGAAACAAGACCTCACATGTCTGCTAAATACTATGCCATAGCAACCAATAGTCACTGCATTCTAAACAAAATGCACTGTACTGTAAAGCTCTAATGTTCTATGCATTCTGTTTCTGCAGGGTTGAATACCTCATCATCTGGTTTTGGTTCCTTGCAAGAATAAGAGGCACAACATTAAAAAGTTTAACTTAACATGTAAAATCAGATCAACTCTATGTGTCTGAATTGGCTGACTTGGCATACAGGAAGCTCTGCCACACCATAATTACAGATGAGATAGTCAGTTGGATCAAACAATGTATCATTTATGAAATTCCTGCCAAAAGATGGAACTTACCGCTGGCACAGGTTTGGCTGTTTTGCTGGGCTCAGGGCTGGCTTTCTGCTGTGGTTCCTCTGACACTCTGGCCTAGGCACAAGCACACACACAGAAAGTAAATAATGGCATTTGTTGCTAACATTTAAGGTGTGAGTGGGGTTACGGTGGGCATACCTTGCTATTGCCACTCTCTCCACTTTTGTTTCTGTCTTCCCGCTCTTTGTGTCGCTCTCTCTCTTTGTCTCTGTCTCTCCGCTTTTCCTTGTCTCTTTCCCGGTCTCTGTGAGAATCTCTCGTCTTATCCTGGCCTTTGTCTCTCTCCTTGTCTTTTTCCTTCTCTCTGGCTCGTCCTTTGTCTTTGTCCTTGTCTCGCTCCTGGTCCCGGCTCTTGTCTTGGTCTCGGTCTTTGGCGTGTTGGTCCTGTTCACTGCGCTGGTGCTTTTCAGAGCGCTCCCTGTCACGGTGTTGCTCCTTCTCACCGTCTCTGCGTCGGCTCTCCTGCTCTTTGGGCTGCTCTGGGTCCTTCTGGTCCCGGCTCCCGCTGCGCTCTGTAATGGTTTTCTTCTCCTGCAATAGTTTATGCCAACACAAAGGGTGAGGAGGACATAACGCCAGCATCAGCTACATGCTGGGAAACTCATCATTTGAGCATCTCGTTCATTTTTCAAACCAGGCCTGCAGCTTGCCAGGCTAAATGCTAACACAGACAGTACATTTTACACTAGATGTAGGATGAACAGTGTGTAATTCCATTATTAGAGTGGACGGAGGACTCTCACCTCTCTATCAAGAGGACGTTCACGTCCCTCCCTGTTTTCCTTGTCCTGGGACCTGGAGGTGCTGGCCTTGGTCTTTATGTCCACCTTTTCTCCTGCAAGCACTCGCTTCACTGCATCGTCACTGGACATCTGTAAACCAAGTACAGGACAATCCTTCAGTTTGCAGCTTTTTTCTCATTTGCTTTGGCTTAATTTCTTTTGAAAACAATAATTTTAGCTCTCCGGATCTTTCCGAATGACTTTGTTCACAACAGATCTGAATTTCTCATTCATTCAAGCAAATTGCATGTGTTTTGGCACACGTGCAAAGAAAACTGTCAACAATTTGGACAAGAACCACTTGCACATGGCTTGCTGATCAAAACTTGGTAGTTGATTCTCAGAAACATTGTCGTAGTCTTTCTAAACATTCTTTCATCATATGAGCCGTCACATGCAAAATGAATCCATATCTGTCAGACATACATGTATATGAAAGATCAACGGTGAGCTTTCTGTTTACTGTATATGTAAGAAATTGCTCCACAAATGTATTTACTGTATACATACAAATGTGTCTATAATATGTTTCTGTACACAGTATTGCGTAGTATTGACTTTTCCCTGTAAACTTTTCCCCACTGTTGAAGCTCAGTGGGATAAACAATAGCATTCAGATAGACAAAACAGACATTCTTGTACAGTACAGTAAGCAGTTGGTGTCAACAAAAACATCTTGCAGGATTTTACTGCCATGGTGAAAAAACTTGAAACATTTTGACCAGTACGGCTCACACGATGACAAAACAACTTGTCCTTTATGTGGCAAGTTACTGACAGAATAACTAGGTTTTGAAGCATGGACGAAATGTTTTGGGAGAGTTACTACCATTTGCAGACATGCAATGCAGTTGTGATATCCCATGAAACAGCTGTGACAATTGCACTTACAGTTTAGATATGATAAAAAAAAAAACTGCTTCAAAAACTGAGCGAAAGCGATTGAGAAAAACTTGAATACAGCAATAATATCAACGAGTAATATTAAGTGATGTTTGAATATTTAACAAGGAGGGTGGCATTTTTAATGGATTTGGTTTCTTACTTTCAGAGCTTAATGAACGTTGGTGAAATTCTCATGTATTTGTGAGGTTTTTATTTGCTTTTACTTTATAGTTAAATAAATCTAAAATACTATCTCAATTAAATCTAGGATGTCTTTTCAAGAACAAGAACAGGAAGAAGAAGTAGCATACAATCAGAGAGGAATACGCACATTCTACATGACGGGAAATCAAAACACTGTTTAAAGAACAACTATCCCTTTGGGACCAGCTCATCTGTTTACACTCCTTCTCCAGGGTTCAATTAAAATACTTCAAAATTTTCCCTGGGGTGGCTGGACAATATTCCCAAGAGTACAACATTTTAATGTGAAACATAACACACAGTAAAAGGTATTTCTATAAATGTAGTGTCATAATGATATTGTTTCGCCAGAATGGAGACTGGAGACATTGGAAAGTGAGCGTTTTCAATTTCCCATTCATCTTTTCAGTTTGTGTTTACGTGTGTGTGTGTGTGTGTGTGTGTAATCTCCCAAGAACACAGACCTTGTTGATGCAGCACTTGGCCATGGCCTGCAGCAGCTCATTGGTTCTCTCAGGCTCATGTCCGGCCACAATGCGCGCTGGCTTTGCCACCAGGGGCTCGCCACTCACCAGCATCACGACATCTATCGCTTTCTGGAGGAACACGATCTTGGAGTCCTTCTCCTAAAAAGGAAAAAAATATGCTGCGGTGAACAGGAGAGACAAGAGATAGGATGTGGTTATGAAAGCAAAGGAACTCCAGTGGGAGTTAGAATGATTACACCCTTGAGATGTGCATAATCTTTGCGAACTATGTTCTACACACTATGTAGAAGGCTACGAGTCTAGGTAGTGTGAATAGTCGTGCGTTAGTCCACTCTGATTCCTCTCCTTTCTTGGCCAAACTATTTAAACAAACACATATCTTACCTTGAAAATAATTTGCTACACATTATACATTACAATTTATGGCAGAATTGTTAGCTTTCTGAACATGACATCTAGCAATCCAGGAGCCAATGTTAGTAACATGTTGGTTGTTGTAAGGCAGCAGGAAAAAGGACATGTAAAATCTGAATTTATAACAAAATATTTCTTCTAAAAAAGAACAAACAAACACCTCATTTCATTGTACTCCAGATAAATGAGCCTGCTAAGCAGTGCTCCTAGTCTATCAGCCAACTGTGTAACATAAGGAGTTACTGTGCCAGACCTTCTGTGTAACATATGATACCAGGCTGGCCTTTGCAGTGTTGATCCCTTTACTGATGACATTTCTATTGAGTGACAGGCCCTCTACAGTCTAGAGGGCCTGTCACTCAATATAAATTATTATTATTAAGTTTTTAAATATTAGAGATAAAGAGAGTAAGGTAATTAAGGGTGATGTGCTTATCACATAACAGATGACAAGAACACACAACAGTGTGATCTCCAGAAATACGATGTTAGTGACCGCATCCCGAAAATCACCTTCAAATAGGAATGAGTGCACAGTGGTATCCATGTTTTGCTAAACCAGGATGAAAGTGAAGCCATACTTATAGTTTGTAAGGAAGTGAAACTGGACACAAAAAACAATTTGAGGATTTATCCCCCAAAAAACACAGGTGTAACTTTGGTGTCATCTCCAAATCTGCTCTTTATGGTCTGAAAAACACATCCAAAGTGAGACCGTTGCTCTCTCTCTCTGAGCAACACAGAGAGAGAATATATCCTTTTATCTATAAACATCTTTAATATTGTCATCTCAGGTCTACCAAAATCAAATCACATATCAACAATTGATTGTTAATTTTAGGTCTTCCTGACACGTGCATTTCAGTTGTTCTGAGGGACAAACCTCTCTGTTCAGGAAGCTTTTAGCTTTTATGCTCCAAGCTGCTGGAGCAACATGCCAGAGGGTCTGAGCATACAGTAGCTGAATGCGTTTGAAGTCTTCAAATGTATGCATTAAGACTTCTTATTAAATAAAATGTCGGCTTAATGTAACATGACATTTTATCGTCATGGTCTAGCAATTTAATTGAGATTATGGGAGCTCATGCCTGAGAGGGCTTGTGGTTGCCATGATTAACATTTTAGGGTTATATTAATGTTTTTTTTCTTTTATTCTGTCTGCCTGTCTCTCTATCTGAAATACAAATACATCCCGACATAAAAGGCAGTGAATTAGATATAAAATTGATCGAATACAAGAGCCCAGGGCAGGAATTTCAGAAAAAAAGTCATTTATAGAACAAAATGGCAACAACAAATTAACTTCTTTTGATCTGTTGATATTGGTACAAAATCAAAGAGTTAACAATAAATATGTTTTAGAAAGCAAAGCATTCAATATATGAATGATACATTATTTTGGGGAAGGGGCGGACTGTCCCGTCAGTAAGTTTGGGAAGACTCCCGAAACAGCTGATCCATTGCAGGCGGAACAGTTAGTGGTGTTTATGCTCGCATAGAAAGGGCCTCTCCAAAGTCCTGGGCTGAATCTCAGTCCCAGTGCTTCCCTGTTTGGAGGGGGGGTGGGGGGGTCTCTCTACTCAATTCACTTGTTGCAGCTTCTACAAAAAGCCCTGTGACAGACATGAGTGAGGAAACAATGCGAAATACTAAATGCAACAACCACAATTTAACACAATTTAACTACAGTAATGTGCCTGTTGTGAGACATCCAGTTTCTATCGGTGACATTTATCAAAGCCCATGCAGCATCTTTCTATCCAGTATTGATTTGGGGTCAACTGTCAAGCAGCAGACTTGAGTTGTGACACTTGAAGCCCTCTCAGTCATGTCCTGCCAGATCTTCTCCCTCAATGAGCCACAAAGGCAGCGTGTAAAGTTACTCCCACACAGACCTCAGACTGTCCCATGTAAGGCGCAGGTGATCTCATATAAAAAAGCTGCTGCTTAGGACATAAATGCATATTCTGTGTACAAGCAACACATTAATTGAGACAAACAAATATGAGGGGAACACTATTAACCAAAAACAGTGATATCAATTTAGTGTTGCAGGAGGTCAGAGGGTACAAAAGATCAACCAGGAGGACAGAGTGTGGTCAACTTACCTTAACATTATCTGACTTCATTTCATTTTCTCCATACAGACCTTTCATAAAACCAGTCGTCTTGATGACCTGAAAGTGGTGAGAAATAAAGGTTTTATACTCGGTTGTCAGATTATTTGCAGTATTAACTGTTTCGTATACCTACAAAATGTAAATATATAATGTGGACCACTATTAGGCTCTATACCTCAGCATGTTTGATAGCCCATCCGTGCAGTCGAACACATTGCTAATCAGAGGAAAGGAGTCACACATGACGACACGCTTATCAAGTATACATGAACCTGATATATTAGACTACTTAACGGGCGTAGAGTGAGAATGAGATCTCACATCGGTTGAGAAAGGTTAAACAGATTTCACCGTGCTTGACACCTTGTATCAAAAGGATTCAGGTCACTAACAACAGATGGAGCCTTAGATATGAAGCAGTGTTTTATGGAGCACAATGTTGGTACCACATCTATTTCATCTTTGTTACCTATAGCCTACCACTCGCACAGATATTTTTCTGCCAGTGTTTGAGTTGATAAAGTGTTGATTATTTGAAGTTTAGTTTGATCCATCTCAATGATATCAATAAACTAGTTTAGAACAACAGTTCCCAGTCACTATTACTGCAAGTATCCAAAGCTGAAATGTCCTGGAGTGGTACATCAACTCTATATTGTAGATCAAGAAGATAAAAGCAATATGCAGTGATTAATCAGAGCACAGCGTCACCCTTGGTGTTATCAAACAGACCAGCTGCAGTAAGCTGCTCAGCATCCGGGATCTCAACGTGACGGACGCATTTAGCTAACTTAGTCCTCACAAATGTCTCACTCTAGTTAGCTAATAGTGGACAAAAAAATGGTTTGATCCATGCGTGTGGGTCGTGCCTAGCAGCTACACGACGCCGTAGACACGGCAGGCTAACGTTAGCTGACTAGCTAACCCACTGTGTTAACTTACTGACGTTAAGCAACCTAACATTGAATTGCTAGTGAACGTTAGCATCTATTTGCTTTGGTTCATGTCCGACCTTAATGGTTTAGCTGCTGTACGAGCTTACTCGTAACACGGAAGACGGATTGAGAAAAGCTACGGAGAAAGTAACGTTAGTTACTGCGAAGTTAATGTTAGCTGAGTTACTTGGTTAGCATAGTCCATGATAACGTTGGTCAGGTTATATTAGCCGGATAACTGGCTAGCTTGTCTGTGTTTTTAAATGATTAGAACGGACCGGTTGGCGCTAGCCTTTTCATATATATGGGCAAAAGTGGCTAATGGTGATAGTTAAACAAACGTATAACTTGCTAACGTTATCGTAACGTTAGCATATCAGTCTCACCTCGCTTAAGATGTCGTGGAGGTATCTAAACGGTGGCTTGGTGAGCAGTTTGTCCGTCAGAGGCGGTTTCTTTATCACTTTGCCGAGCGTGTCCTGAGTCTTCTTCACCACGGCCCCGTTCATAGCAGCAGTCCACAGTGAAGCTAAGAGGCTTTAACGCAGAATAGACAGCAAAACTATCATGGAGTGTAAAAACAAACTGCTGGCTCTGTCGCCTGGTTGCTATGCCAATATTCAGCAATCCCACAGTGCATCATTGATGAAGACTGCGCCTGCGCCGAGAGTTACGGTTGCTAAGCACCGCTTGTGTCCATAGCAACAGCTAACAATCTGCAAGAATGCTGATGGTTTACTAGTTGATTGGTTTGATGGATACAGTAGACAGACAGACAGACAGATAATAGACTGATAGTCAGATAGATAGACTGACACGTTTTGGCTGAAAGATAAATCTAATAAGACGGGTATGAGAATATGTTGCTGTTTCTGTAAAACTGAGTCTGCCCTTTTGATCTGAACCTCCTTTAAAAGCCCACGAATGTATGTATAAGCCCATATGTTTTCATGGACCCCTTAAGAAGAGTGCCATTAATTGTTAAGGTCAGCAATCAGAGCAGTAGTTTAGATAGGGTTAAAGAGATGTTTTAGGTAGGCCTAAGAGGTGTGCCACATACAGTGTTTTGCTGAGCCCTCTAGTGGTTTGTTGCTATGATTTGATTGTAAACCACACCGGTCCCCTTTCCAACAACATCAAACATTCACCAAGTGTGAGACAGAATTAACAAGGTGGTTTTCAATGATTGCCAGCTTCGTATCAATCAGTCTGTATCAGTCTGTATCTCAGTTCTACTTCAAACAGTGCGTGTGATTCAGTGCGTGACTTCCTTTCTTTAAAGCACACTGCTCTGATCTACCTGTTTGGTGAGTTCACTTAATAGAAAACACACCTGATAAAAGAGAACACACAGTATATCGAAGGATAGGTACAGGCGCTTGTTGCTGCGTGCTGTCAAGGTAAGACATTCAGGGTCAGAAACACTTGAATTAGGAATAACTTTTTCTGTAGAAATGAACATAGTGTTTTGATAGAAGATAGAGGCCTATAATTAGAGACTCTTTAATCCTGCTTTTTGACACAAATGTTTTTTTTCGTCATAGTAATGGGATAGTGATAGATCAGCTTTTAGCAGCGTTTTTTATTTTCATTACAAAAATTAATATGTGTATAATAATAGCTCACAAAAATGGCGATAATGATCATAACGGGTAACAGCTGGAGCTTTTAATGAGAAAGATTTTACATAAAGTCAGCGTCTAGGAATTATTTGTTAACTATTTCTACGGTTGCTGCTGTTCAACCGTTTCGAATACCAGCTTTGTTAAACTTGTTTGGTGAGTTGGCCAAGGAAAACGTGAACAGCAGAAATCTGTGCCGGCTGTTCTTATGTAATGAGCGGGAACTTGAAACAGGTTTGGTTGATTTTCATAGGAGAACACACGGAAAATGAATAACTTTTTCGTAAGATATAATAAGAACGTTTTATGCGGACACGTGTGCTGTTACTAAACCCTGTGATTGCAGTGGGTCTAACATTGTCTTTCTAATTGCAGCAGCTCACTGAATTTCCCTCTTATCTAATTGCCAACTGTCATTGCAGTTCTCTCAAAGGACGTGTAGAGATGCTTCGCTTGGTCGTGTTTGCTTTGTTCCTTGGTATCTGTGCAAGTGCTGGTAAACAGAAAAAGAAAGAGACGCCTCAGTCCTTGTCCAGAGGTGGGTGATCCGCCTTTTTTTGAAGTTTGTACAGCTTTATGTTCCATCTCAAGAGTCATTGACTTACTGAATGTAAAGCTGAGAGCTTGGGTTTGAGTCACAAGACAAACAAATAAAGTTTTTAATTTGAACTGAGCTTGTCAGGGAAGTGATTCAGTTAATATATATAGGAACCATGAGGTAGTGTGCCATATTCATTAGTTTGGGCTTTTTTTTTTGCTGTTTTGTTCTGCAGGATGGGGGGACAGCATTCGTTGGGTCAAAAATTATGAAGCGGGCCTGTCGGAGATGGTCAAACGGTAAGACTCTACACATTGATAGCAGCCTCGAATATTCATTGAATCTGTTTAGTGAGGACTTTTGACATATTTTCTTCCTAATGCATAAGGAGTATGACTAACAATGTATAATGCAGAAGACCATCTGATCTATTACTAATGGCATGAAGGAAAATAAAAGTATAAAATGATTTATTTGTCATTATTCTTTTAATATATGTCCTTGGGACTTTGATATCTCAGGGATCCTGTTGTGTAATACCGCATCCACACCCATCATGCTCATTGTGTTGAGGAATGTGTTGAGTCGTTTCTCTGTGGTTTTGCTCTCACAGTAACAAGCCTCTGATGGTCATCCATCATCAAGACAACTGCCCACACAGCCAAGGTACTGCAGTCACTCTGGTTTGTCAAAGCGGAATAATATTGAATATAACAATATAGGCTTACATACCCCGCATTGTCCCTCTAACACAGACCTGGGCTTGGTTTCATGGGGAACACAATGGGTGCATTCCTCAATAATACCTAGCCAACCAAGCAGGTCATACCCATCAATCACACAGCTGGTTTTCAAGAAGTAAGCTCAATGGAAGTCTCCACTGGCATGTCTGAACTCATAAACAATAAAGGCCACCTACAGGGCGAAATCTGGCTTTTACTTTTGTCAGGTGTGAGGAATAAAGCAGAATATTTGACAGCCTGCCTTTGAATGCCGGAACATACCAGTGTTCCTCATATATAGTTTGGTTCACGACTCAAATATACTTACTTGAGGACAGTTTAAGTTGGACACAGCCTGTTACATTGCGTAATCTCTGGCAAGAAAACTAGACGTGCATACTCTGTAGGTCCCGCTCGCAAAACTTGTTCCTAACTTGCCCGTCTGTCAAAAAGTCAAAAAGTTAAGCGCGTCGGCCAGAAGTTTATGAACACAATATGTGTTAACTGAAAAATGGTTGAACACATTTACAATTCCTTGCACACGTTTTTTTTTGAATCTCTATCGGTGGGTTGTTGCAACCACATTAATAGTACATAAGGTATTTCTATATTGATGACTTTAAAGCCAGTCCTGTTTTCTCATCACAAATCCAAGCTAAACAGAATTCTTTCAACAGCGCTGAAGAAGGCATTTGCTGCTGATAAGTCCATCCAGAAAATGGCGGAGAAGGACTTCGTCATGGTCAATCTTTTGGTAAGTTCATTGGGCACATATGAGGACATGTTTTCGTCAGCATAAAACCGTGCACACATGTACAAATTGCAGCAAGTGGTGAAAAATTCTGACTGAGTGACTGATATAAAGAGGTAATGTGATGACATGATAGAGTTCCTGTAGCCCAGTACAATGAGGCGATGTTTCAACTAGTATTTTGGTCCCTTCTGTTGGTTGAAGCATATTATTTTTTGTATGCATTATTGTAAGCACTACTTAAATTGATATACAATATAAATAAGTCAAATATCTCACGGTGAATTGTGGACACTGTAACAAGCTCAGGCATAATTGATATTTATGTGCAAAGATGAACAGCATCTAGTAACCATCTGCCAAATACTTTATGCCCACTTTTTAGTACTAGAAATTTACTAATTGTGCTTTTTACAGCTAGAGACCACGGATGAAAATATAGCCCCCGATGGCCACTATGTTCCCAGAATCCTCTTTGTTGGTAAATACTTACACTATTTATTAGGGGTGGGGGGAATCGATACAACATAGTAACGCAATGTTTTGAATGGCAAAATTGTATAGATACACAGATGCCAAGTATTGATCTTTTATCATATAAATAATTAATATTGCAGATACAAATGAAACCTTTTGGTAACAATTGCTTTTTCGGTCCACTTCATAGTGCTTTTTCTTTGTCAGTGGGATTGGACTATGTAGACTGTGATACAAACAGGTGATGTGTCAGGTGCATGATGCAACATTTATGACAAGTTTTTAGTCAGTCTGTCTGCTTGAATGGCAAACACATTTTTGCTGCAATTAAAAGGATTAAAGTCAATCAAATGAAAACTTTATCTTTATTGGATAACAAATGTTTACAAACTGCATAATTTGCAGGTGAAAAGGGTAATAAATTGCATTGCATTATTGCTGTACTCAGCATATCACAAAATGTTTAAAGCCGCAATAAGATAAAATCGTGGCTCAAGTATTGGGATCAAATCGTATCGTGGGTCCTGTAATGATTCCCACTCCTACCCCATTTATCGTGATTTAGAATTGATTTAAGCAATATTTAATCTAATAGGATAATCAATTGAAAATATCAATTTCCCCTTTAATGGATCACTCTCCCATCTTATGAGTTAAACAAGAATATATATGAAAATACTCAGGACAGATTTTTGCATCCATTTGAGACACTGAAAAACCTCACAGAAGATTTTAAGTCTTTTTAGCAGAATTCAGGCACATCAGTATATATAGCACAGATGAGAAGGAAAGGAATACAGGCTAACAGACTCAGTAGTAGTGTATTCTTAATAATGTGTGGGAAGTGTTGGGTGAACTAGGACTGGAGATTCTATTTTTCCCACCAAGTCCAAAATAACCACTAATTTGGCTGAGATGTCACCACATGGCTCCTGGCTGAAACTGACACCTGCCATCTGTTTGCTTCTCTTTCACATGTCCTCATTTTATATTTCTTAATCGTCACCGCTTGACCTCCCTCTTTTTGCCATTTCATATCTTCACTGCTAGTTACTTTAACAGCTGTTACAGAATCACTCGGTACTACCAAAGTGAGCAGCCCAACACTTATTGCAATCATCAGATAATGTTGATCCTCAGCCGTCTATGTGTGTGACATGTCTTTCTGCAGATCCATCCAAAACTGTGCACACTGAAATTGTAGGAAAGTTCCCGACCCACCGCTACACCTACGAGCCGGCTGACATGATACTCTGTGAGTGACTATCCACTCTCTCTGATGATGGGGGGGGGGGGGGGGGTCACCTGTCAGTAGCATGAAGACAGACTGTTTTTAACCCTCATCTCCCTCCCTCTATATTTTGACAGCGAGTTGGGAGAAATCTTGCAGCTTCTCTGCTCTAACGGCTTTTAGAGATTTTGTGTAATTTTCAAGACATCCATGTCCAATTTGCAGAATAAAGTTTAACTTCTAGAAACACAAGGTAGGGTACTTTTATAGAAATTATGATCATTAATGAACAAAATAGGGACAAAATCACTCAAAAACTATTTGACATGGTGCATTAAATGTGATTTTGCCAAAATGTAAAAAAAAGAGATGAACTCAACACTATACTGGCAATACAGAGGGGCGCTTTGAAAAAAAATATTTTGAATTAAAGCTGCAAGCAGCGATGTGTTTTGCAAAGCCCTGCAAAAACTATATTTCAAAGTAAGTGTGATTGTCTTCATAGTACTGACTATACAAGGGCTGGTTAACTTAATTCAAGTACATGTCTTCTTTATCTTAATTGGCAATTCTATCTTATTTGTGGTTAAATTCAGATCCTCCAGTATGCTTTGATACTTATTCTAAGCTCTGAAGTTTCAAGACAAAAACATCTCATGTCAAATTTTTGTTTTGTTGCGAGTTCATCACAAGTTCATACATTCAACCGTAACCTTTTAAAATAATTGAGATTCACCCTCTGGGGACCATGAATATCTGATCCAAATTCAGTCTCAATCCATCAAGCAGAAGTTGAGATATCTTACTATAAAAGTGAAAACTTTGACCTGCTGGTGGTGCTAGAGATAAACCTAGGGAATCATCAACGTCAAGAAGATTCATCCTCTGGGGACCATAAATAGAGGTACCAAATCACATGGCAATCCTTCCAACTGTTGGTGAGATATTTCAGTCTGGACAAAAGTGGTGGACCCACAGATTGACATTGCTATTGCTAGTTGTACTTTCAAGCACAGCTCATGTCTAAAATGATTTTTTATTTGATTTGATGAGGCATTTTTGCAATGAGCCAATCAGCAAAGAGAAAAGACTTATGTTGCATCTTCTAATTTGTCTCTTCTCTTTCAACAGTGGCCAAAAACATGAAGAAAGCCAAAATAATATTGAAGGCTGAACTCTAACACGTTTCAATCTGAGATCGGACTTCTCTCCACCCGAGTCATGCTGGTCCGCCTGCTCAGTGTTCAGAGACTGACATTTTTACCTTCTCTTCAGAGCTCAATAAAACCAAAATAAGTAATTAGAAAGTAGAGTGTCCATTTTATTATACTCCATAGTAATTGTGCCGACAGTACCCTGGTGCTGTTGAAGCTTGCATGCAGGATAACTTATTAACTCATAATTGTTAAGTTCAATTTGAATTTAATTTTAAAAAGCATGGTATTATTGTACTTAGAGCTTTTAAAGGATGAGTCATTTTGGGACGTACGCTTATAAAGCAAAATTAAACTCTTCCTCTACTGTTCTTTTATCAGCTGTCAGTTGGCCATTTTTATTTACATTTAATTAAGAAATGGATATATTCAAAACATAAAGGAGATAAACTACTCGTATATTTAGTGAAAGTGAGTGTTACCTCAGAGTCTGGGTGTAGGTTCTCAGAAGAACTCTGTGGACTTCCATCAAAAAATGCTGTGTTGTTGACCTGAATATTTTATTTACACTATTTATAACACTGAAATAATGTAACGATCTCAGTGGATAATGAGTGAAAAATCTCCCACATGGTGGCATGTTTCCACCACTAAGGGGCAGTATAATATAGATGTACAAGGTCCTATGACCTCTTTCACTGAAATCATATTTGTACTATTGTCAATGCTAATTAGATTATACTTTGTTTGATTATATGAGTTGTATGCAGTTTTTAATTAGAGCGTTAGCACAAGTTATATAGGCTACTGTATGGTATTACATATAACTGTATTATTGCATTGTCTACAGTTTATCTTCCTTTTAGTGCACGTAAGTTTAATGTATTCTCCGGTGTGTTCGTCAAACATCTCCTACAAGATCAGCGTCAGTTCTTGAAGCGTGTCTGTGATTGCGTTGCTGCACGTGTAGTGCTTATTGATCCGTAGTTTCTAGACAATTCTCCAAAGACGTGCATGTGGGCTGCATCTCTGTTTCTCCCGCTAAATGGTCCTCCCTTACAACTGCAAAAATATCATTTCTAAACAGCTCAGGCCTTGACAGAATGAGACCGTGCTGCAACGCCACAAATAGCCCAGATGTCGTTTTATAGCTAGGATTAATGAGCTGTTTTTAATTGTTATGGCTGCACTGTGTTGAGCATTCTTGTGCCTCCACCTTTTGAAAGAAAAAGTACACCGAGTGGTGCAGACATATATCAGCAGCGGTGACTATTCTGCAAACTCAAACCCTTATTATAACTAATAAGATGCATCCTTTTAACCCAGAAAAACAAGAACAGCAGAAAACAGAGAGCATTTAAAATGGGTCAGTAAGTTTCATTCCTTAATATTAGTTTCCTTAACATCTACTGAAGGAACTGATCACTGAGGAATGATTCAATTATTCACACTTGCGTTGCATTTTTCCCCCCTTTTTCCTTGTGTGCCTGCTTTTTCCCCCCAATGTTTTTCAGTTTTCTGTCTTTCATTTGGACCCCAGATGATTCGTCAGAAACTCTTGAGATTTTCTAACTATTTCCCCCCCGATGTTTTTCTCAAGAAATGGGTTTCATAGGCTTACACTCCTGGTTTCATAACAACTGTGTTTTCTACTCAGACGTTCCTATATCCTTGGCCTGACAATTCCCTGTCTGGCTCATTGCAGTGCTGTTTCCGTGCTCTGTGAAAGAAATTCTGCTTCCAAAATCATTTCCAGCACCTCATGCCTCCAAGAAACTGTCACATTTTGTTTTAGGTATACGAAGCATTTCTACCATTAATGACAAAAAATACTTATCATTGGGTGTTAGTTGAAATAAAACAGAAAAAATGGTTATTTACAAGAAACTACCTAGACAACCTTCCTAAAAAGAAATGTAATATAGCGTACGTGAACACAAAACGTACTGTGAAACCATATTTCTGTATTCCATGCAGACAAAACTGATTTCATCATGTCTAAACTTTCCCCCTAAAACACAAGCTTGTCCCACACCTATACTGCAAGTCTTATTTGTCTCTTTCCAATTTACAGTGTCGTGATTTTTACTAATGGTACACCATTCAGTACATGGCCGACCAATAGGTACAAGAGAATGAAAGCGTTAGAGAACAAGGGGCTAACAATGTGGGAACCTAAAGGCTCTCTATACGACATTCAGGGCGTTAATGTAGCATCAAACGGCTAATAGCTATATAAAGGTACAGTGTAGTAATGTCTACCGTGGCAGAGATTTAAGTCGCTCTCCCGCTGCATGTTTTGTAATCTGATATTCTCTGTGTTTTTTAACATTGGTTAATTCTGAACTATGAAATATTGCAACAATGTTGATGGTATAAAAAAGGCAACAGATTAAGTGAATGTGTCTTACAAGCATTATACTATTCAGGAGATAAACAGTATACAAACTGTACACACGAAAATACTGTATTCCATGTAAGAAGCTAAGCTGAAACTGAGGCCGGACATTGAGGGTGCTGGCTCCTCATGGCTTGTGTGTCCGACTATTTCTTGGATTAGCAACCTGATATTATCCCGTTGCAGATGTGACAGGATCAGTTCTCGTATCATTTATTTGCAAAAACAGGGAGGACGCCCAGCACACCTCTAACTCTCGCAGGGACAACCGGAAGTCACTGCCATAATTCATTATCACCATCATCATCATCATCATCATCGGGCTGAGATTAGTGTGCAAAAGTTGTCCTTTTAACTGCTTTCCTAAAAGAAGACATACCAAGGTGGACATTATAAACACAAAGCAGGAACCCTTGCATTTACAGAAACACTGTTACATGCCGCCAAACACACACACACACACACACACAGACAGACTCAGGTACAAGGTTCTTCAGTTTGACTTTGGGTCCGCCTGTGACAAGGGCACGGGGCTATTAGTGCTCGTTTGCACACTGCTTGGACAATTTAGCTATTCAAATAGAGCCCACTTACTGGAAAACAGCTCCTTAATGAAGAGATGGGCTGGGTAATATTTCATGAATCTATTCTTTTATTCCTTCCCACACACTCATAAATACACACTGCCTGTACGCATATATAGAACCATTATGTACACCAACGCATATGCACTCTTAAACACAAACTTAAACGCATAGTTATACACACACACACACACACACACACACACACACACACACACACACACACACACACACACGCTTACACACCTATACAAGGGCGGACTGATATTATAATGTGTTCTGGAAGGGACGGGGAGCAATTTTCGCCACATAAATCAAAAAGGTCAAAATGCAAATGTCAGCGTTTCATCCCCCTCTCCTTTTTAATTATTCCGTCAGGTTCAAAGAGCCTTCATCAGAAAGGAGCTGCTCTGACAAAGGAAGGCCTGAGCTCACAGATAAGCTCAATCTTTGTCTCCTTTTGACACTTTCTTCTCTATACTTAGCCTATCTACACTCCTCTCACACACGCAGCGACACTTAGCATCACCTCAAAGTAAATTACAATGTATCGGTGTGAACGCGGTGCCAAAGAGATGCTTTAGCAATTACCAGCCGACTTGTGTGAATGTTGAGTCAATTAATTTACACCGTGGGGAGCAGTCTTGTTAGCTGATTTTGAAAACTCAAAAGTATAGTTCGTTCAGATCATATACTTATAGATTTGCTCTCTATTATTCTATCATTAAATCATAGCACAATATGTGAACAGTTTCTGTCCAAAGTTTGACTTTGATAAAGTGAAGCAGAACAAAATTAGAGAGGTTTTAGTACAGAGAGGTCAGGCAAGGTCACCAAAATGGTCATTTTGGAAACATCTGTTCCATTTTAATTTGATAGACTATATAACTATATATTTCACTTGTTTTATCACTAATGGTGTTCAATATATCCAAATACAGCAGTTTGGCTTTATTTTGAGAGCCAGAATCCTCTCTGAGCCCTGTCTGTGTGTCACTGGGTACTTCTCAAGTCTCTTAATTGTCGTTTCCTCGCTCCTCGATCCTCGCTTGAACCGGAAGTTGTTTCTGCGCCGCCATATTGACGGCCATCCCAAAGCTCTAATATAGCTCGGAGGAGCCAGGAGCGAGGAACCACGAGAACAGACTTCCAGGAAGTCTTTTAACGGCCGACACGCCCCCTCATTGTTCATCAGTTATGTGATTGGACGCTGCAGCCGATCGGACTGACTGACTGCAGTTTCATACCAGAGTCAAGACAGATCACAGAATAAACTCAAGCTTGATATTTGATTAGGTTTCTGATTCACCATCTGGTTTAAATATATGTTCATTGTAGTCTGAACAACAAAAGGACCACAAACAACTTTCTTCATTTATTAGAAAGATTTGTATTTTCATGATCTGATGTTTCCCTCAATAACTTTTATTATGAATACAATTAAAGTCAGAGAGCGCTGGAGAGACGAAACACTTTTTACATTATTCCTGAGTGTTTGATGAGTTTTATCATTTAAGAGAAACAATAATCATATTCTGGGTTATTTAATAATGACGCCACAGTCACAATTTCAAAACGTACAGACGCAAATAATTCATAAATAAGACGATCGCATTCCGCCGGTAGAAATCGATCCTGTGCTTATAAACAGAACACAGTTTGTTAACAGACTACAGAGAGAAACACCTCTACAGTGGTGATTATAGTGTATCTTTATTAGTTATTAGTATTATTAGTTACTATTATTAACTACAGTGATCATGTGAACAGACACAAACTTATCAAAACTCTCTCCAGCTGTTAAAGCCGACTGACAGCTGTTCCAGCTGTGATCAGCTGATCCTCCGTCATCAGAAACAGACGTCGCTTCACATGACGCAACTGAGGAAAGGACGTCTCATGTATCTTAAAACATATTTCCTCGTTCCTCTCTCCTCGCATGGTTTCCTCCATGCTTCCCTAGTGGGAGGGACTAAGACGCAAGGAAAGGACGTAAGTGAGGGAAACGGGGATGCAATTAAGAGACTTGAGAAGCACCCCCTGTCATCATGGAGCTTGGCTGACTCCTGTTGCTCTGTGGCTATGCAGACCTGTAAGTCACCAGCCCATTGGTCGATTTTAATGAATGACCCCTCTTTCGACGCGTTAGAGCCAATAGAATTGAGCCAACACGAGGGAAAGATTGACAGCACTCTTAGCCAGTCAAAATCCAAAACGCGCCGTCTCTCGCGAAGTGTAAAATCCGATATGCCGAAAGTAAAATCCCTACCCCCAGCTCCCTCAGGCTCAAATTCAGCTGTCTTCACGGAAACAGGACATCGTTGGACAGATATCTGAGTGAATTTACCGGGATTTTATCCTTTCTTTTCACGAAAACGACGATGAGGTGAGGTGTGTTTCTGATAATTATCGATAAAGCGGTTTGTGGTTCTGGTGCTTGTTGGCTCATATCTCTGTAATGTTTTCATGGAGAGATATATTGAAGATATCTGCGTAATCTGTGTCGAATTCTCTTGCTTTCTGGTATCTCGGTTTTCCGTGTTAGCTTCTAGCTTTTTTCTTGGTAGCTACGACCGGAGCGTGGAGTCGGCTCCCTCATGCCGAAATATGAGTGATAATTTGGTAATTCTTTTAGTCGTTTGTTTTAGTTGTATAGAATTGTGTTTGGAGTGTGTAAAAATGGCCTACATGATCTTGTAGCCCAGACTTTTTTCATTAACTGGGTATACAACATGTGTGTAACATCATTATATTCGTTCCTGAAAAGGGCATTGTACGACGCATTGTACGACACGCTGTACGCTAAACTTTCTCCGTAAAATCGAGAGCCCCCCACTTGGGGGGCTCTCGGGCTAGAAGGCTACAATTATTTGCAGAATTGTTATTGTATTAGTTTGTGTCATTATTATTTTCTGATTATTATAACACTTTGTGTGACTTTTAAAAGGTCAGGTATCATTATAGACATGGGCATTATAGAAAGTGAGGCTTCTATTATCACTATGTTTATCTATCTTCATTGTCAGCTCGTATTATGAAAGACGTTTCCCTTCAATGGAAACATCGATCTTATTTTTCTGTTTGGAAACACACTTCCACCCAGAGACTCATCTGTTTTGCGGTGGACTCTGTGACAATGGGTATGACGCCATCAGTGTATGAAGCCCTCCAGAGACACAAGGTCACAGAGACACTCCCGCCGGTGGATAACAGGAGGCTGGAGTCGGGGCCGAGGTGGGGAGCGGTCTTCGCCGTGTGATTCGCCACATACTGTATATCAACTCTGTTGAGCAGAAAATTGAAAATGGAAATGTGGGCCTTGAAAGAGTGTGGCTCCCATTTACCCCTGGACCAGAGATAATGATTTGTCATTTCTCTCAGGGGCACAAGCTGCCGGCCTCGCTCTCACCACAATCGTACTGCGCCGCGGGGCTGATGCAGGCTTTACCATTCCTCTATACTGTACTGCATGTATTTACATGTGTGCGTTCTCCAATTCCACATTTGTGGTTTCTGTTGAACTCAAATTCTACCTGCTGCGATTTCGCTTAGCTCGAATCCAGTGTTGAATTGCATAAATCGTGTAAATAAATGTGTGATTGCTCATCGAAATATGTTTCATCAAGTGCATCAGACCAGGGTCCAATAATAGTCAGAGAATAGAAGTTTGCTAATCTCACCCAGCTGATATTAAGCGCTCTATTACAAGCCAATAAAATATCCGACAGTAATACCTTATCCAAGATATATATTCGATGTGCATGGCTGCTGGCTATGGTAAACGGGACATGGTATAACATGTATCTGGATCGATGTGATACTATTAATGTTTCCATAAAACAGCAGCAGATGGGAGCTGAATTATTGAAGACTGCAGACTTTCTAACATGCTTCAGTCCGGGCCACGTTCGCCTGTTGTGACTGTCTGAATCTCTCTTTGCATGAGCTTTCATCATGTCAGTGGAGTTATGAGCACGGAGGCGCAACGTGTTTAAAGCAAAGCTCGAAGTGATGATCTATTATTGATCTGATGGCATCTGCTGGGAGGCTGAACAGACACACATGCACACCGTGCTCTGTGTTTTGGAAAAGTTCTCTCTGTTGACTGGACGCCCTCCATGATTGCTAACTTTTCCTGCTCAATGGGCTTTTTCCAGACTTCTCTCAGATCTTACTTTATCGACTGAGTTTGAGGATTGCTTGAAGGTTGGTGTTCAGTATGCTATCAACAATAGAAAGCTATAACACTATAGTGAAATGTGGGGTGCACATTTCCTCTCAGTTGTCACTCCGATTAACAATTGACAAGCTTACTCTTATGAAGGTGTTGGTGATTTTTTTTCTACTTAACCTGACATTAAACAGTATTGTAAACACACTCACACACAGAGAACTTGACCTGTTCCTCCAAGCACCTCTACTGAACATGGAATTTGATTATTCATAAAATATATTACGATACGTTATTAACTGTTTCAGGAGGATCACTTGTGTAATGGATTAATAAACCAATGTTTTACTAAAACTGTGTGATGTAAAGTGTTTCTGAAGATGACAATATGCAGGGGTGCACTTAAATAAAGGTGCAGTATCTGTATTGACTTGCCTGCATGCCTTGCCTTGACATGTTCAGGTATGTACATTCTCGGGGCTTCCTGACAATATACATGCATGATTACTGTTATATTGAAGCCAAATGAATGTTCTTACCTTTACCTACAACACCGGCGGTGTTGTTGATCACGACAGACAATGTGTTGCCCATTTAAGTTCTCTCTGTTCTGTGGGAATGCATTATGAAGACGTCCAGAGTCAAGTACTGCGAGTAACATTTTGAGATTCTTGTACTTTCCATTTAAAACTAGTTTTGTTTTACTTCATCCCACTACATTTCAGTGGGAACGTGCCCTTTAGTGCCTGTCCCACCGGCTGGTTCATGGCCCCCACTGTGCGCTCATACAGCGGTTACAGCTGATAACACCTCCTAACCGACATCATCACTACGGAAGCAGAGCAACCACACTTTGGTTACCCCTCAAGGAAAACACTGTTATTACCATCAAAACTTACGTTGTTTGCACTGTTAGCTGCCAGCCGGCGCCATGTTGAGAGCAGCGTGGAGTCAATAGATATGTTCTGACTTTTGAATTTAAGACCTTTGAAGTTTAAACCAGTAGCTCTTGACTTTTTTGGGGCTTAAGACTTCACAAAAACAGCAGTCTTGTTGGGTTACGTTTCAGCTGCTATGAGTCATTAGCAGTTACACCAAATAAACATTATGGAGTCGAGTACAGGATCTAAAATACGTTGCTTGGATCAATATCCTCGTTATAACCACAGCAACGGCTAATTCAGCAATCAGAAGAGAGACGCAATTCATTTTAGTCTTCTTCATTCAGTACACACAAAACACAGTTAACATGTGTGGACAAAGCATCTCACGTGAAGCATTCAGCTTCTTTGTAAGGGTTGTTAAATCAAACACACAGACAGCTGCATAAGACGTGATAAGAAAGAATCCCAACCATGTGCAAAAGTAAACTAGGAACTCTTTTATTCTTTTTTTAGTTCATTTTATAGATCTATGTTTAGAGGTTTTTTTTTTTTTGGTTTTTTTTCTACTCGAGTCCTTTAAAAGTTTGTCTTCATGCTAGGTGCAGCTTCGGTGTTGGTAGTACATGCAGGGTTGTGGATTTTGTCGGTGGAGGTTTTCACACATCGGACAACTGGAGAGAGGGAGAACGTGGGACACGGTGGCTCTGAAAAACCCGCCCCGAGTGGACGGGCGCTGACCACTCTGGAGTCGCCACAAACAATAAAAAATAAAATAAAAAAATTTCACTGCAGGCACAGCTGCAGGAGGAGGGTGGGGAGGGGGCGGGGGGGCACTGACCATCATCGAGGATTCACAAAGGGTTAAGCGGAAGCAGTTCAGTTCTTGCTGTGATAGTCGCCATCCGATCCATAAACGGAGATGGTTTTTTATCATGACATCAGTTGACATCTTTAGTGCAGTCAAACGGAAAAAAAACAACAACTTTAGAAGCAGGCAGTTGTTAGGGGGCTTATACAAAAAAAATAAAAAATAAAAACTCAGACAGCTTGGCAGAGAGAGAATAGAACAAAGATTTGGGGGGGGCAGACTCCTGTTTGTGATGGGGTGACATTAAAGGAGACATCAGGAGTATTGCTTGTGACTTTGGTCTGGGTCTATTTGTTGGGGGGCCCTCTGGATTTCACTGTTTTCTGTGATCCAGATTTCAGAGTTTCTATCTTCTAGGTTCTCCTTTCCTGCTTTTCTAATACAGACTCATAAAACAATCAGAAGTAAAAAAGAAAAGAAAAGTTACATATATGACATCACACGTGCCAGCTTGTGGATGCCACTTTTAGCTGAGGCACCTTACAGTGCATATTTCTTCTTTTTTTTTTTGTTATTTCAAACATCGGTGGCTACAATGGGGATGAAGCCTGTTAAAACCCCGGCAGTGTAGGTGCCATGCTTTATGGTGCCCAGTGACTCACGGAGAACCACTAGAACAGCTTTCTAGGATGGGATGAACTGATTGTACAGGTAACAGGTTTTACCGTTGTTCCTTATATACAGAGAACTGCTATACTGCAGCAATAGTGATCGCCGGTCACAATATACACGTGGCCATGGACGGCTACAGATGCACTGAAGAACGGACATTGGAAACTTCCCCCATATTGAACGGCATAAACAGTTTCTGTAGCAATCAAAAGTACAGTTTTCAGTGGATATACAAAAAACAAACAGTAAAGGGTTGGTTTAAAGAAAAACAAATGAATAAAAACAAAGAAGGAAGCTAGAATAGTGGGGCAGAAACACATGGACATCATCTTTGGTGGAGATTCCACAGAGTATGCTTAAAGACATCTGAGCACACGCATACTGCAGATTGCACACACACACACAGCTGGGAATAGGAATTGACTGCAGTTACTTGGTAAATATGTCGTCATTTACAAATTGGAAAACACTCCGAACATCTATGCGCTCGGGGTGCAAAGGTGAGACCACGGAGGTGTTTGCTGGAGATGTAGAAGACGTGGAAATGACATCACACCGTGTCACATTTTGGTTGTATCCCACTGGCAGGGGGTGTTAGCAGAGACATTAGCATAACAATGTGCGAGTCCGCTCGTGAGCCCCCCTCTGTGTTTACAAACAGAATTATGCTGAGGGATTACAACACGTTGGCATTGCCGACTCTCACGACAGACTGGCATGACGTGAATGTGACTTCACACACTGTATGAGGCACTGCGGCCTTCCATTATTAGTTCAACCACAGGGTGACAGTTACCCGATCTTAAGAGGTCTGCTTATCACTAGTTTCACTGCAGTAACATCCCAAATCCTCAAAATGCCCAATCTTAAGAAAAACAAACAGTCCCCTCCCCCCCTCAAACAAACAAACACAATAAATTTAGAAAATAGAGACAAAGATTCAAAGCTGCCTGTGGAGGAAGATGCTGGCAATCATTCAAAACCATTCAGTGATGGGCGCACGGGGCTCTCCACCACGTGGTTTATTTTTTTCTTCTGCTCTGTAGGCCTCCCAGTTCAGTTCCCATGCAAAGCCATGGCTTGGATCAAGGGAAAAAAATACAACGTGCAGCACCTCCCAAAGCTTGTCCAGAGACCCAGGCGAGGGGAGGAGGAGGAGGCGGGTCTGGGGGGGTGCTGCAATGCTCTCAACACGACCCCCTCCCCCGCCCCTCACTGTTCAAGTATGAAATGAGAGTGACATAAAAAATAACTTACAGATCATGTCCGCGGATTAATGAACGAGACATAAAAACTGAAGAAAAGTGCTTTAGCTGCTGTGACACCTGGCCTGTGTTATTCTTAGCAGTCAGTGAGTCAAACAGGGCCACACTGTTTTGGAACATTTTCATCTTTAATACAGGGACTAAGAACACAGTCTCATCTAAGGAGCGGACCAAATGACACATTAAAATGTTATAGAACTATCGGATGTTCTCTTTCTCTTCAGCAGTAGATTTACATCCTGAAAATGTACGCATCTTTAAAATAACTTCATCATAGTCATTCTTTTTTTTTTTTTTTTCTTCAGGTCCATACTTTTTTTTTTCTTCCTGTGTTTCTAGGCTACATTTCACCCTAAAACTGGCTACACACAATCCAGAAAATAGATTAAAAAACTGCATAATTTCAACTTCGACATCTATGGCATAAAAGCATGGAATCCAGTTTTAAAACAGAAAACAAGCAGATGGAAAATAAAAAAAACTGCGTCCATTAAAATCAAAACAAAACAAAAAAAAGGACAAAAATCAAAATGATGAGAAAAGACATGGCGAGGCCGAGGTCCTCTGAGGAATGATAATGACGGGCTATGGATGGTTTGTGAAACTACGCACGTCTATTTCCACAGTGCAGCACGTGCTGACACATGGGACGGAGGTAAGTGTCTCTGTGGGCTGGTTCTAAATAGGTAGGGGGGGGGGGGCTCTCTTGCTTTCAGGCCTGGGTCAGGGAGGGAAGGAGTGTGTGTGTGTGTGTTGGGGAGGTGGGGGGCGAGTGGGGCGGGGGAGGTGTTTAGGAATCCCTTGGTCCCTAGGCTCCCTCAGGAGCATAGGGTGAACTGGTCTTGCTCACTGGGCTTTTTCACCCAGGCCCCCAGGCCGGCCTTGTGGAAGGCCTTGATGAGTGCCAGCTTGGCAGAGTGGTACTCTGTGGCCACCTGCTTGGCATCGTGGTAGGAGGCGGGCTTCACCACCTTGATCCACAAGATGGATGACAGCTGGAAGGGAGAGAGCAGGAGAAGTTGAGCTCTGGATGATTGTTTTTGTAACTACATAAAAAAGCTTGTGACATGACAGCTTTCTAATCTCTCTTTCTCTATCTGTGTTTCAGAAAAATAAAAAGATACCGCAGCTTTTTAACTCAATCCAGCTTTTTTCCCCCAATGAAGTAAGACATTTGTTTCAGGCTGAATAATGTGACATCTCGTAGCCGGATCACTTGAGTTAAAATTCTTAAATTGTTATCCAAACAAATGATGCAGTACCTTGGTGTGTAGGCGCAGCCAGCGGCTGTATAGGGTGTGCTTGCAGAGACGTGAAGCGCGGCCCATGTCGTCCTTGCCTGTGGTCGCATTGATCACCTCCAGGGCCAGATCCCCCACCGTCCAGTTCACGCTGAAGTTGGGTGCCTTGCCCGGCTGCCTGGCCTCTGCATTACTTATACCTGGGAATCAAAGACGACGAGGATGAATGACTGAGCAGTACACCAAGAAAACATAATGTCTTAAGGAAAACCAGGTATCCAATGAATACAATTGAGTGATGATGGGCTGTGAAAATTCTGCTGCTGAATCAAACCTGCAAAACTGCACTGTCATGAAGCTAAAAACTACTTTTCTTAGCTCATTGACATTTTGCAGGTTATCACTGGACAGCGATATTTTATAACAGACTGACACACTAAATTAAATGTTTTCCTGTTGCAGCACTTTCCACAGTTTAAGAACCTTTTTCCAAACATTGTGTCAAAACAGAAAATGTCTTCGAGCTTTCAAGTGGAAAAAGGGCTGTGATGAGATAATTATTTTCTTCCTCCATCCTCCAAAGTGTCCGTGGGAGACCAACAGGAACTTAACCTCCTGCTACCCGACTGCATGGATGTATTACCAAACCTGGCAACCCATTCCTTCAAATGAAAGCTGCTCCCACCCATCCACCCAGGGGGACTACGAGGTCAGAGCCTGCTTTCTCCCAGCACAGCACTGGGCATCAGCCTCCTCTGTATCCGAAGCGTAAATGGGAGATATATGGATGCCATGAATCCCGGTGTCCTGCTCTCTGTGTGTATGTGTGTGTGTATTAAGCTCCATTGTTCCGTTTGACAGCACTTGTGGCAGAAGATGATTTAAAGGGGATGAAATCCTCAGCGCTCTTATGCCACAGCCCTTCACCGCTAAAAACTCTCTAAAGCGGAAAAGGTTAATAACCCCCCGCTATTGTCTCCTTTACGTTTAGAGAGCAACCAGGGAGGAGGAGCAGGGGGAGCTGCACATGGCTCCAGGCCATGTGATGAGATGCCCCATGGCCTCGTCATCCCTTAGGATCTAAAAAACAAAAAATGACCCGTTCGATTTTGAGTGTTAAAGAAGATTTTATTGTTGTCTATTTTGTACTATTGCTGTCATGGATTGGGTTTTGTTTATTATTAATTGTAAAAACTGATGATCTGCTAAACTCCTTCCCAAAGAACAATTGTCCAAAAACTCATTGGCAGCCATAACTTGGTGCCGTCAGTCTACATTTGAAGAGGTTCGGAGAGTTGGGTTTTTAGCCTTTCATGAACCAAAACCACAAGAGTATAGAATAAATTCAACAGTGTGTTTATCTGCTCTAACAAATGGTATGTGGTAACGTAATAGCTTACTACCTACAGCAGAGCACATCATTAACTAACTACACTAGTCTGTGTGTTACAGGTTACGTTAAAAGGTCCTGTTTATGGATGGAGCCTCTACATCTAGAACAATGTCTGGTTCTTTTCTAGCATGCCATCATGTGTGTAGCCATATTTAGAGCCTCATTACAAGATTTTCCATTTAAAATGAGTCAGCTGGATACATTAAAAAGTCAGTCGTTAACAACTTTCAAACCACTCAAGGAGCTATCGTTAGCTAGCTAGCTAGCTACAGCTGATAAACTCTGCCAGAGACTGTTGTCGTTTCAGTTGACGGTGGCTAGCTACAAAATGAAAAACCTTCTTTTGTCTACCTCAGTTTGACTTCAAGGAGACCATTGTTTAAAAAAAAGAAATATTAAGAGTTATTTCTGCCACCGTTATCACTCTAAACTGCATTATGTGCTGCGTGAGAAAGGAAAGCTCGACACAGCATAGCAACAGCAGGGCTTCGTAAATTTTCTTGGTCTTGTCTGTTGTGAAAGTCTGTAGCAAGTGTATAGTACTTCGTATAGTACTTTTTCATATGAAATTGAGGGGGGGGGGACAGAAACAGTAATACAAATGTGTAAAAAAGGAAAGAAAAATGACAGAGGGCTAAATAACAATGAAGAACTAAAACGTTTGGTAAACCTATAATTTGTTACAGGAAAACGAAACATGCCGTTGTAAAAAAAGTGCTCAACCAGAAGACTGAATTCCACATCTTAAAAAATGGAAACGAACGGTATGAGTCCTGGTCTATACGGCCTTTTTAAAAGGTCAAGCCAATGCTGAAAACTTACACACAAATGTAAAGCTATTCAAATTCCACAGGAAACTAGGTAAATGTCAGCTCAGATCAAACAGAGGGGCAAAGCAATAACTGTCTTCCTGCTGTGGACTGACCAGTGAGGTGGATAAATGTGTTTACTGCTCACGATTACCGTCTTACTCTCTGATATTTAGACAGCCGGAGTTTGATTGGCAAATATTAATAAGGAGACACGACAATGTGAACACGATCACGCTATCGCCTCAGGTCTTTTTTTCCCGGTTAAAATTCCAGCGTCTATAAGCGGAAATCTTATTTCCCCAACTACTCCACCTCAAAGCGGCCACTCACCACTGAGCAGAGGCCTGTTGAGAGCGAACTGCTGGGGCAGGTCCTCGATTTCTGCGATGCGCTGGTACATGGCCCTGGAGAGGTGGTCGCCGTGGTAAAGGCTGCCAAGGATGATGCTGGAGAAGTAGATTGGCTCTGTGAAGTAGCTCATCAAAGAGCCCTGGATGCCCACCACGTTCCACCTGCAGAGCAGACACACACACATACATTAGATAACCTGGAATATAGGCTTATTTGTTGGAAATATGCAGTTTTAACCGTTTTCTTCTGGTGAATATGGATGCATTTGATTAAATAATGGTAACTTCCATTTGGAGGTCTGACTTTCGAAACACAGTTATTTAGAAGATGATAGCAGACCAAACCAAACATCCTGGTTCACCTCATAAGACTTTATTCACGTTCATAAATATCAGAAAACATGCAATACATTCAAATGAGTTGCATGACGCATTCTACAGCAAAGAAACTGTTAACTCCTCATTGTCCTAAAGTTCCCATGAAACGGATACCATAGATTGCGCATAATTTACTTGAAATATGGAGGAAGAAGATGATCACGAAATGGGTGATTTTGGTAGCGAGGCCATACGCGTACAAGCCGAAAGACAGGCTTATTCCCGCGACGGAGCTGATGCATCCCAATGGTAGTCTTGTGTCTATATTAAAGGGGCTCATTGAATTTTTCATTGCAAAATTTAGATAAGCCTTTATTGATCCCAGAAGGGAAATATGTCCCAGATTGCAGGATGAGTCATCAACATTTTTTTTTGTTGTTTTTCCAGTAAATTACAAACTCTGAAATAACATTAAAGGTGTAATATGCAACAATTTCCTAAAAAACTATGTATAGACTGATACAAAAATAGACTTATGACCAACTACAAGTGTTTGGCGGTGTCTGTATCTGCAGAGGCTGTGCTGTCTGCCTGTATTTTCTCTTTTCTTCTTATTTTGCCGTGTTCTCTGGGCATCAGAAAAAAGTATTTGGACCCCATGTTGGGATGAAACTACCAACGCAGGGTGTGCTGTGCCGTGCCGTCGGTTCTCATTTGCAGGTCAAACATCGCCGCTTCGTCACGCCCCTCGGCCTACCAAGGCTCACAGACCTCACAGGACGGACACACAGGGAGCAGGCAGGCCCACAGCAGCATGATGCGTGCCTTGGGCGGCATCATTTTTCAAGCTACTGTAGCTGACATATTTGTCGACGCTGCGTCGAGGCTTTAGTCATACGGAAGTGGGCGTGGTTTCATTCATCAGCTCTTGCCCACTTTTTAGCATTGTGGGTGGACTTAGGCTCCGACCTGGGGGAGAAGTCACACTTTATGAATACTTTTTTTTTTGTCGTTGTTGTCCCAGCTACTGGCACATAGGTGCAATACAAATGTGATAAAAAAAAAAAAAAAAGATTTCATGGGAACTAAAATATGCTTCACAAACGACTTTTAATGCGTGACATGTAGAATTAATTATAATCAGCTTAAAAAGTGCCCAGAGACTCTGTGGTCTGTATGATGAACGTGAAAAGGAAAGAAAGTCTCTTGACTATTGAGAAGACTGAATACACAAAGAAATACTGTATGGGAATATGCATAAGTGGACACACACACACACACACACACACACACACACACACACACACACACAGCTGTACAAGCAAAAATATATTGGCACATAACCACCCAATGCAATCTATCACACACAATCCTACAGTTGTGTACACTCTGGGGTATCCAATTTCATTTCCTACAAATGTCTATGTATTTCTATGCTGTGTCATTAGCCATCTCTCTCCCCAGTCATTTTCCCATTGACATGCTCTGTGAAGCATCGCCCGCCCCACCTCACGGAGGGAGAGAGGGAGAGTGTGAGGGGGGAAAAAAGGGAGAGCAGAAGTTACATGGAAGACTTAAAGGCTAAGGCCGGTGGAAATTTCCCTACCCTCTGTGTGGCATTAAGCCCCAAGCCCATTCATTTATTGCTAAAACTTACACCTTCAAAAACAACTCCCAAAAACAATAGTTTAATAAAAGAAAAAAACAGCTGGGTTTTATGGTTTTAGAAAACTTTACTCAAAGAGGAGTAAATGTGCATTGGATAGGGACTATTTTCAGCGGATTAACGCACATTTGACATATTAGTAATAATTTACGGCAACCAGATGGTGTATGTGGGTGCCCATGTTCATGGAAAGAAAGAAACATGTCGCCCAGTGCAACAGTGTGGCTCAGTTATGTATTTTGACTATTTTCACGATAGAGCTCAATGGCACAGAAGAATAAGTGGTAACACTTTCTATGACGCCCATGTCTAAAATACATCACAGACATAATTATAATGCGTTACAATCTTCTTATATTATATGGAGGTCTGACTTTCACATATATCAGAAACCATCAACTACATTTAAACAACTTGCATGATGCACAGCTCGATTCCACAGCAAGCAGCTGCATTAGCTGCCACAATCAGCAGACAAAGCTTGGGAACAAGTAAAGTTAAGTAAAAAGTTATTTTACAACGTTTTGTGTGTTGTTCTTGCTTAAATGTAATTATCTAAACTAAGCAATAACATCTTTTAATGATTTATAATAACATTATAATGCATAATAACAGTTATTATAATGCATTGTAAAAAAGATTATAATCTAAATACAATGATTTCAATTATAATATACAATGATTCTTTCAAAACAGAAATGTTAATGAATGACCAGCAATTATGAACTATAAACTATATGAATTATAAACTGCTTTATAATGTGTTATGATTATTGTAATAGAATATGTATAAGTGCTATAAACAGAGTATATCGGTGATAAGTATGTTTATAATGCATTAGAATAACAGGCGTCATAGATAGTGTTACCAAATAAGCTATAAGAGGCTTCGGCTACACAGACAATACTAGAAGTTAGTAGGATGAATGCATTGTTGTTATTGGTCTTTTTGTTGGATTTGTTGATATTAAGAAAATAATTGATTAGCCTTCATCCTTTACTGGCCCTTAAAATTCACAAAACAAGACACTGACAGTGCGATGACGAGCTCTTCTTCTTCTCCCTTTCACTTCAGGCAGACTGCTTGAGAGTGTGTGAAATTACCAACATGGGCCAAGAACAATGAGGAATATGTAAGCATAAGACCCCGGGCTACTCAAAAGGTACCATTGTCTCCATATCCAATATTTCCTGTGTGTGTATTATATGTGTGTGAGGGAGAGTGCCTGATACTGTGTGTGTGTGATAATGCAATCTCAGAATTCATAGCTGCAAGCAGTAAAGCACACATTCAGCACAGTCAAACAGCTTCATAATATTGCGCAGTAACACACACACACACACACACACACACACACACACCTTTTTCCATCAGAACAGGGTTACACAAATACACTTGGAAAAAAAACAACACTCAAAAGGACACACAAGGTATGTAAAAAGAACCACAAACACGCACACACACATTTTGAGTTATGTTTTTGGAGGCATTCAATTTCATTCACGTCCAACATCTGTGTATTTCTTTGTTGTTATATTATTCAATATCATGCTCTGTGCGCAGACGCGCACGCGCACACACACACACACACACACAAAAAATCAGCTGTTAAAGAAATAATGACAGGAAGAAACGGGGGAAAAATATACCTTAAGAGCCTTGCACCTGTGCTAATGAGCTCATTCGAACAGCACTAAGGCAGAGAACCGCTTGTTCTCTGCTGAGGCCGTGGGGCTGGGCATGTAATCGAAGGAAAACGAGAGGAGAGAGAAAACATTGTGTAAGGAGGGAACGTTACGGTCAAAGTGTGCCAGTCGGTCGCTGTATTAAATAGCAGCCCCGCGGCGAACAATCGCTCACGCCGGGGACAGGAGCAGGTGGGCGGCAGATATCTCACCTGGTTAACAGCTGTGTCATGAGGACGGAGTCAGGCGGGGTGAGACAGTAGTCTTTTACCTTACACTGGAAGAGATATACTCACAATACCTTATCTAAATTGCAAAAGGGTTCACTTTATGATGCTCTACACTAACTTTAAAAAAATAATTATCTCGTGTTTTTCCTTGTTATCCAAGTAAAGCTTGGTCAGAACCCCTGCATGACTAAATGTAAGGTGTCCAACCTATTTTGCCCTCTACTGACTTGGATCGCTCCACTTCGGCCAGCCACACACAGATCTGAACCTCTAGCACCAGCGCCGACAACAAGACTCGTCGCGCAGCGCAAACAGCATCGGCTACTTGGTCGACATCATCCCCCATCAACTACGCACTCGTTGTTCAATCACTCCACGCGTTCAGGCAAGGTATTACCATCCTCGATGGAGGAGGAAGAGGAGGAGGAGGAGGAAAAAGGGCTCCCGAGAAGAGTTATGGAGAAGTTTTATCGTTCATCACTAGGGAGGCACAGTGTTGCCTTGAACATGGACAGAGACTAAAGACGCTATGATCTGCCTGCAAAAATGCCCCAGGGACAGAGGATCCATCAATTCAGCTGTCCCTGACACTCCCTAGAGAACATGATAGACTTGAAATGACAAAGCTGGGATATAATGCAATTCATCACAGCGTGAGTAAATAAAACAAACGAGAATAACAAAAAAGAGTATCATGAAACTATATGGCTAAATATGATGTAGCATATAAAACAAAATGTACATTCTGATTAAAGAACTATTTAGGGAATTTGGGGATTAAATGTGTTAAACAATAAACTTTAGAGGGGTTGGTAGGTGGATTTTCTTTGCAACAGAGCCAGGCTCCATGCTAAGTTAGTCTTTATGCTAAGCTAAGCTAACAGGCTGCTTACTTTAGCTTCACATTTAGCGTACAGACACAAGAGTGGCATCGATCTTCTCATCTAACTCTCGGCAAGAAACTTAATTAACATATGACCCAAAATTTTGAAGTATTCCTTTACTGATTCTCCGTGAAATAACAGACAGAGAACAACAAAGCTTTAGCTGCTGGTTATAACTAAATATTAATTGGAATATTAATGACAGTGTCTGCAGACACACTTTGTAAGCGCTATGATTGTCCTAAGTTTGAGACAAATCACCTTGCGATCTTGTCACTGCAGGACATGGTGAGTAACCTCTCCCCCTGCAGCACCCCGTCCCAGGTCTGGATGGTGTTGCTGGACCTCACAGGGATGGTTCCTTCCCCCGACTCAATTTTGGTCCTTAACTGGCCCCGTGCTTTCCGGTTGGGATGTCTGTCTCCTTGGTCTGCGCGAGACAGCATGGGAAGAGAGAAATAAAATAAGGAAGAAAGAGATACATGAAAGTGCACAACTGTAGAAGTAATCAGAAAATTGATGGACATTTTTGGATCCCTATCAGTGTGCAAATATCTTCAAAAAAAGAGATGCCAAGAAAGGACAGATGGAAAAATGGCTTCCGCAAAAGCGAGGCCTGTTATTTATTATTATGTTATCAATGTTTTCTACTGTTCCGCCAGCAGGCGCCATCTATTCAGCGACTAATTGAATGTGGCTGTTTTCTATTAAGTCTGCCATGTGCAACGGAAAACACTTTAACAAGAGTAAGAGGGAGGTTAATCAGACAGACAGTGTGAGTGTGCTGGGCGGGAGGAAGACTGATAGAGACAGACAGCGAGTGACAAAAAGCTCTAATTACCAGAGCCTTGTTTAAATGCGCCTGTAATTCGTATTTGGATTCGGGGTAAAATTCGAATTAAATGAAACCAAGCATAAGAGAGGAAAACCTACAAACTGAATTACATTTTTAAAAAACGACGCCGTTGTTGAAACTGAATTCTGAACAATACCGAAAAAAAAAACCATGCCGGCTGAGCTGAGGAGGAGATTTGTACCTTCAACTCCGGCCTCGTGTGGGGAGAAGATCCGGGCGTCTCCGCAGGGCGAGGTGCTGATATAGAGGTGGAACTGAACGTTGTCCTTTAACCTGTAGCCCCCCTTGTCACACGGCACGAATATCGACTTATGCTGGTCCTCCTTGCTGCGGTTGTGAAAAAGACTTAAATCGGCCAAACGGCTAACAGAACAGCATAGCAGCTCATTCAACTGGACGGCATTAGATTCAGGACAGAGCAGTCTAAAGACGTGTAGTTAGATTATCAATACAAGCAACCTTCCCGACATTGCAGGCTAAACAGATTTGACGCCGTGCACTGACCTGAGGAAGAACTCCAGCTGGCCGTAGAGGTACCTGATGAGCGAGCGGCGGGCGATTATCTCAGCGTGGCAGTCGTTGAGTGCCAGGCCGCGGTCACTCATGTACTCCCCGTTGATGCATTTGGTTCCCGTGGAGACACAAATTACCTGTGCCTCCTTCACATCTATCCCTGTCGGGGGTAAAGGGGGACAAAGGCACATCAGTCAACACACTCTTAAAGTACAGGCGTACATATGCCACCGGTCTAAATTATGTTTTAGTGCCCTCGATCGGACAGGAGGCAATCGTTTGCAGAGTTGTCTGTCGTATTAATAATTTGCAATTTAAAAAAAAATCCAATCTCTTTACCTATTGTCCTTGTCTAACCCTCCAGAGCGCCCTCATTCATCTGCTGGAGCGGGAATCTTTCTCTGCGCTCATCTTAACTCTCAGCTTAACACGTGTGCCTGTGCGCATGATTTTGTGACAAAGTGCGGAAGCCAATCGTGGTCCAATATGCGACTACACAAGTGTGAAGTGGAAACTTGAAGCCACCAGAAAAGGGCTTCAGACTTTTTAACTCCCGATAACGATACCTGGGCTTTGACCGACAGGGTTGTAAAAATTCAGTTATAATCAATTATTACTCGTTATTTGAAGATTCTAATTGTAATAAGACATAGGCTCGAGGCGTATTTGAAGGCAGAGTCTGTGATTCTAATCCAATACACTTTTTGTCAAACTCAGTGAACATCTCATGTAGTGCTGGGCGGTATACGGTATACCGGTTTTAATTTCTCGTATGATATCAATTTTTCACACACCGTCATACGGTGTGTATGACGGTGTTGTTTATAGCCGAAACAACTGCTGTCGCTCTTCAACAGGCAGCAAAAATATATTGTTCGCCGCTAAGGGTGCTACGGTCGGAGCTAGTTATCTTAAGTGTATTGAGAGGGACCCTTAGTCATGGTTATAACTTTATAACAACAATTAATAACCTACAACTAACGCTCTTTAACAGGGCAAAACACCATGACACAACAGTTTGTGACACAAACAATTTGTAACACTAATAATTGTACATTTATAAAATTACACCGCCGAACATCATGCTGGGTACAGCTCGCTAGCTAGCTAGCCCGCTAGCACAACAGTCTGCTAACAGCTAGAAGAAGCTCCGTCGCTACATTAAAGAACAGAAAAGAGCGATACAGGAGGAACAAAGAGAGACCGGAGATGCACCAATACAATTTGTACCCAAGAGAGGAGCTGTGTCTGCTGTTTGGAGGTTTTTTGGTTTCAAAAAATCCAACGTAGATCAAAAGACAATATATTGTAAAGTTTGTCGAGCTGCTGTTATTGCCTCTGGTGGCAACACTAGCAATTTAGTCAATCACCTCAGCCGAAAACATGTGTTGGAATACGAAGGGTGTATGCGATTACAGTCCTCGGATGCTTTTTTGGGTATTTTGGTCAGACACACATGCAACGCTGATTACCATGTAATATGTGTGGTATTTGTTATAAATGTACGTTGGTACATAGAGGGTGATAAGAAGCTGTACAGGGAGGGACTTAGGACCCAGGGGAATGTGGGTGAAGGAAACAGGAAGGGAAGGAAGACACGCCACACAAACAGCTGTTCACCGCTCGCTGGCCAGCCGGTTCTGGTGTTAGTTTTCGGTGTTAATTAATTAATGCGTTAACACGGAAAACAAAAAATACCGTGATATACCGTGAAACCGCCAGAATCTTACAAAATACCGTGATACACATTTTTGGTCATACCGCCCAGCACTAATCTCACGGTCCGCTAGCAATCCGTTCTGTGTGAGCACTGATTTAAAGATCCGGTGTTGAAATACAGAATTTTTGGAAATGATTACATCTGTCTTTTACAATAAATTGCGCATTCCACGGTACTGTCCTTGTGTGTTTTTTTAATCAATAATAACAACAGAACAGGCTTATAGATTGTGTGTTTGTACGGCAACGAACAGAAGAGAACGCACTTCTGCTGCCACACTGGAGACTGGACTTACCAGACTCCGTCAATGACGAGAAATATTCGGGTACAGAGTACCGATCTGATACCAGTGTTACATTAATAAGCGACTGGGATCATGTGTCAGGCAACATCAGGCCCGACTTACATTGTTGCTTTGTAAAACAAAATGTAACAAATACACACATAGATATAAATGTCCTGAATTGTTATTTATTATTAAAATAATTAATTATATACCAGCAACTTGGTAAAAATTATTTAAAATTAACAATTAAAAAAAATTTAAATTTAAATTTAAGTGAAAACCTTTTTTTCCAGTAAGGAAGAGATAGTCATGAAAAATGTCGGGATGAGATCTTTAACTACTTTATATGCTGTTGGGTTGTCTATTCTATAACAATGCATTACATTTCATAAGTTCATCATATATATTTCAGTGGGTGTCGTTTCCATTCATTTTTGAGAAAACCTTATCGGACTGAGCAAATTTAAACTTAACCGTGTTTTTTTCTCAGCTTCTCTATGAGCCTTGCAACTTGAATTTCCCTTTGGGTAATACCTGAGAATTGACTGTCAGTGCCGTATTTTGTCAGCACGAAAAGCACCGAACACGTCTTCCCACCGTAACATACCTGTTGTCATGACCACTCCTGCAAGCACTTTCCGTCGCGCATGGGGGGAGGTGAAGTTTTCTGTCAGCTCACTGAACTTATCCACCACCAGGCGAGACACTGCATCAGCCAGAACCTGGAATCACACACACACACACACACACACACACACCCACACCCACACACACACACAAGCTAGTGTCAGATATGTCAGTTTACCAAGCGCGTCTGATGTTATCTTCCCCTAGAGCACCCTGTACCTGTCACAGTGTTCGCACTCGGCTCCAAAGCAAGCGTCGGAGCGTTGAAACGGCAACAAGTGAAACTGGGTTGACCCCCTGAGGTATACCTAACTCCCTTTCAAGCAACGCTGTTTGAGTTTGGCATGACAGTTATAATTTACCATCTCCCTTCTGACAGCGAAGCAAAAACAAAACAAACGAACAAGTAAACCCCGAGCAACAGATGTGAACAAAGTGTTTGTCGGCATTCCACGAGGTTTAAAAAGCTCCGGTCTAAACCTCGAGTGAACTTCACACGTCCTTTGTTCTTTAAACAGCCACCTCCTCTTTATCCATTGCTAATGTGATGAAAAATGACGACAACCAAGAGGAGATATGACGGCTGGATGGCCACGTATTAAAGAGATTAGTCCAATATTACTTCCCTGCTACTTTGGAGTCACCCACTCGTAGCCGGATCATTTGACTTTCGAATGCCAAGGTCGTCTACGGTGTCTGGATGACTGTTAATCTGTAGAGCTTCCAAAAAAAAACTTGGGAGTACCGATCACGCAGACAAAAAAACACTTGTGTCCAAAATAATGTTTCCTTTCGGGAGTGAGTAAAAGAACACTTATTTTCCTCCTTGTGTGCCTAAATGCGTTTTTTTGATGACTTTTATGGTTTGAGCGTCAACAAAACAGCTCAAACTATAAAATACTAAACAAAAGTTAACATGTTTCTTCTTTTTTGAAACAGCAGTAGCATCCAACCATTTGTCCCCATTAGTTCCTTGCCAGATGGAAACAGGCTGCGGAAATTAAATACAGAGCGACAGAGAATTAATAGAGCAATTAGTGGGGGGCTCAATCATTAAAATGGGGTTCTCGTCGAATAAATCAGTTGACAAGTGGAGAGAGTGAGTAAAGAGAGAAAAGAAAACACACTGTTGACAGTGTGTTGTGCTGATTAGCCTTGCCGACTGTGCTATCTCTCTCCACACACAGTCACCGCTACAGTCACATCAAAAGCAGCCAGCCACCTTTTATCCCTGCACACCTGAGGTGAGTGAGGTTTTATTGTTAAACAACGATACTGTCTTGCTTAGTTCTGGTCACATCTTTTGTCAAATCACAAATTATACTTTCATGAATTAATCCGGTCAGCCATTCATTTTTGGAATACACTCATTAAGAAGAGGGATGTAATTCCTCTGAAATCTTTTATGCTTTACCGAGATGAAAGAGGAACGTGGCCTAGGGAGGAGTAAGGTATGGACCGGGCACTGGCATCTTGATCATCCGCATGACAATGATTAGTTGAGCTGGATCAAATGTATAGAGTTATGTGTTAGTAGGGTGTTTACATCACCCTGCAATTCTAAAAACCTATCTGTGTTTGTGGTTTTTACCTCTCTCAACTCTAAAAAAGCCTAAAACCAGGTAGACCTTTTTCAATGCACTAGAAGAAAGCATGAGGTGGATCGTTTGGTTCCAATTGTTGAACATCTTGAGAAAATACATGAAATGCTTGAGTTTCTTTTCTGATGTGGTGAGACTCTCTACACGTATGGCAATCTATACAGAGAGAAAGAAACATCTTACCTGGGGTAGGTGAAGCTGCAATCCCTCTCTTGGTATGGGTTGCCGGGATGGTGTCTGGTCTAGCTGCATGTTGAAGAGAGCCGAGAGCGCCGCCTGCGCTGCCCGGGCTTTAGCCAGCTTCTTGTTGCGCCCTGAGCCTTCAAACGTCTGTGCATCCACCGTTACTGACATCACAAAATTCTTTGCATGGCTCTCGCCACTCTCTGAGACAAAGTCATATTTGTGGCCTGGCCTGAGCTCATTGAGGATCATGACTGGGTTTTTGCCACTGGAGGGCGAGCTGAATGTCGACGGAGGGGGCAACGGGGCCTGGGCGAGGTTGCTGCCGGGCGGCGTGGGCAGCGGGTACTCCCCGAGTGAGTTTAAGGAGTTGCTACCATTGGAGCCTAGATAGAAGGATTCTTCAGGTGCGGCTGGGGTCTCGAAGCCGTTGAAGAGCATGTCTGGGAAGTCGGCTTGGTCGGATGTAAAGTCCGTGTTCACCGTCAGCGTTCGACCCATGGCCAGGTGCGCCTCAGAGGCATTGGGGAACTGGACGAAGGAACGCAGCGCTTTCTCTGCCGCATTTAGCTTCGCCTTCTTCTTAGTCGGGCCCATGCCCTCGAACATCTGTCCATTGACCTCCACAGTCATGACAAAAACTGGTGCATGGACTGGTCCCGTCTGAGACAGCAGTTTGTACTGTAGACCCGGTTTGATTTCGTTCAGCTGCATCAGAGCGTTCTTGGGCAGGACCGGACCCGGCGTTTTCTTGCGCTTCTTGGCACGGAACTTGGAGTGCGTGTGCCCATTGCTGCCCTCTTCTAAGGGGCGCTTTCGACTGCCTAGGCCGCTTCCATTGGGGAGCTGTTCAGCCACTCCCATCCCGTCTTTGCAGGACACATTGTCCAGGTTTCGGTTTTCCTTAACATCGGTGCTGCTCGAACCTGCGGTGCCCAGAAAGAGTAACTTACAACGCCTTCGTTGCAGGATCTTGTAAATGCAAAATTTATAGATTCCTTTATCACTCTTTGGAACTGAACCAATGATTTGTGTTCCTTAATCAAAGCAAGATAAGCTGTCTTTTAATTTGATTGAACATATTAATCTGCTGACTATAGATATTACTACAAATAGTAGAACAACATCAGTACATCTATTGTTGTTAAAGAGTCCAGTGTCGGGACATTTTGTGGACTATATTTTGGTTATAAAGTATTTCATTTTTGAAATGAACCTCCTAAAGTTATAGTTATGAAGGCTTGTTATTCTGATGATGAGGGTAATGTGGGAGACATATTTAACTACTGTATTCTTCTCCGGTCGCACAGTGTTACGGGTCTCAAACATAAAAAACGACACATCAACAGAGCTGTTCCTCATCCACTCTATCAATTTGTAATCGCTTGAGTGCCTACAGAGGAATTAGGTACATTTTAAGTGTTCAGTTTGAAACTGCAGGTCCTGAACTACACCCTACTGGGGAACACATATCACCGTATCCAGTTAGCAAAGTGGATGGAATATTGGCAAAAATTTTCATTTATAACATCCTTCAGCAAAGGCTTGATAGGTTACTCCTTGCGGTACTCAGGAGAAAGAGAGGCCGCAGTGTGCATGAGTGGGATTGTAGGTTTGGGTTGAGGGGGTACAGGGGAGGAGTGCAGGGGGAGGAGCTGAGGACCAGGCAAACAGGAGGATACATCAAAGAGGCAGAAGGAGAAGACTCCACCTACTGCAGGATCCTAAAGTCTTGACTGGTGGGAGGTTAAAATGCTGTGTGCCTGTTTTTTTCATAAGATTTAGAAAAGAATGACTGTTGTGTTCAAAATGAGGAAACTCGGAATTCAAAATCTGTGTTCTAATGAGGTGCCATTCATAAGACCCTGCGCCTCTGAGATCCCCCCGTGGAGCTTGTCAGAGAACACAGTGTTTTAGGTTGCAAAGTGTACCGGCATGCCGTTACCATCTGCATACTGCAATTGACATTTCTAAAAGGCAGCACAAAAAAAAAAAAGACACTTATTCCTAAGATCAAGAACACAAACTGCATAGCCTTCAATTTACGAGCAATATCTGCACAGAGAACATGCAATATGTTTTGGTGTGTGCGTGCGTGCATTCTACAAACAGGGATTTTGCAAATAAAAAAGGGAAAGGAGAGACAGCAATGCACAACTGTAGCCAAGATGAAATTATCACCGATCAAAACGATGACAGGTGAAATTTGTGTGTTGGACAGGGACGCAATCTCAGCCAACGACCTTTAGCCACCACAGATGCTGCGGCATGAGGTGAGTCAATTTATGCCGTGGTGGACGAATGTACAAATTAAAGGAGGACTTGGACTTTTTATATGAATTGTTTTATAAAACACAGCATGTAGCGCTGTTGCTTGTTACGTTTCTCTACAAAGGATTGAATGCACAGAGCTTTCAGCTACTGCAGATTTCCATTGAACTGAATGCAAAATATGCTTAAATACCATCAATACCTCTCTTAAAACAGTTATACGGGGTGTAGAGAACAATAAGCCAATCAAAAACAAATGTAATCACACACTGACAACTCTAGCATGCTGCACAGACAAATACATTGAAATAACAGCACACAGAAGAAAAAATAACTGGAGCTCCCTCTCTCTGTTTCAAAATTGTCTCATTCATCACATTTAAACTTTTTTCTGCAGGGTTGAAATTCCAAAAAGCTTATTTTATAGTAGAACTTTTTGCAGGACGATGGATATCCAGTAGTACTCCACATCAGATCAGAGGACAAAAGCCATAGAGCAGCAGCCATGACACCATGCAATGAGTTATGGCACACACATGCGGTCGTGTTCGTTTTCATACCAGCGTCTGTGTAATCAGCGTCCATTAGTTATGCGAAGACAAAACATCCCATATGGCATGGATCTGTCAGAGTTTAAATTCCCTGTAAGGGTTGCATGAACCAAATAATGCAGAAAACAGAAGTCTTCTATCACAACTCTATTTTAAGTGCCACTTGTTTGTTGGGCTTTTTGATTTGGAATGATTCGTGTGATTAAAGAATTTCGAGAACCACAAAAGGTTGTCACATGAAAGCCTGAGATTCTTTCATGTTTTCCTGTGGTGTTCCCTCGTTATTAAAGGAAATAGGCTTGTGTGAGCTTAGTCTGTGTTTTATCTTCAAATATATATTTCGACTAGCAGCAGAAATGTAAGAAAGAGGCTTCGCTACGCTGCGTATTTCACTCAGCGCATAACACTGGAGCAAAGACACAGTGTGACACCGCAACAGGAACGGTTCATTTGTATCGCGGGTGAAGGCACTGCGAGGCAGTGACGGCTCTCTTTGAACGCGAGTGCGGAATCGCTAAGGTGTGTGTGGGGGGGGAGACACACTCAATCATGCCTCTCCGTGCCTTCTGAAGGCTCAGTTACCGAGCTCAAACCGAAATGTCTAATTAACTTTCAATTGGAGTTGAGAGGACTTTTCTGAAGAGAGAAGCGGAGGCAGAGGCAATCTGTAATATCACCCCGAAGCCTCTCAGATGTAATGATTGCTTCCTCCCTAAAAAAAAAAAAAAAAAAAAAAAAGTGTCCATATAATCAGCCGTGTGTGTATTTGTGGGTGTATGCACTGCTCTGCGTCTTGGTTCGGGTAAGGACAAATGATGGCTGCCATCATGCTCATGGAGGGGCAACTGAATGACAATGTGATTAGCAACACAACAGTGTTTTTGTTTTTCAGACATATTTTTAGGGAACATTTGTATGTACGGCGTTAGATTTGCATTCCTGTGCTTGTTACTTTATTCTGTGAAATGTGGGATAGGAACTGTGCTAATACAGGCGAGCAAAACGCATTCACACTGATTACACGTCAAAGAAGGCATGCGAGGGGGAGACGTGCAGGCAGACAGACGGGAGGGAAACAAAAACACAGACGGACATCTAAAAGGAAGACCAGGAAGACGGAAAAGTGGGAAAAAAATCAAGAGTCAACTCACTCATATTCTCCTCCTCGTCCACATCCATGGCCGCGGGTTTGTTCTGACCTGAGAGCAGCCTCGCCCCCACTGCACCTGGAGGATCAGAGGACATGAAGGGTGGACCGCATGAGCGGGGACACACAAACACATTCAGAGTCCTTGAGTGGCCACAGTGATGATCAATTTCTGGACGCTCCAGCACGCGCGCACACACAAAAAGAGGAATGCACATATTGCACTGTGCGATTAGTCCGTGATGTATATAAATATTCAGAGACAGAGATATCAAGGTGAGAGAGGAGGCCAGGGCTGACAGGCCTTAATAGCAGGAGCAGTCTATTGTGACTTTAATATCCCTCCGATTAGACCTCATTTTCCACTGCCTGCTGACAGATATACAGCAAGTGACATGGCCAAGTTACTCCATTACTGCACGCGCACACACACACACACACACACACACACACACTGCTTATCCCAAGGTGGAGAGTGCGATTAAAGCTCCATTAAGCAATATTTCTCTCACTAACAGAATCAAATGATTTCCCGCAACCTGAGATTTGTGCTCATGCTGCCAATTACACACAGACAACAAACGCGCAAACGAGTTTGTTTCGACACACTTTTTCTGGCACTAGCTCCGTTTTGCCATTTTGCATGTATCTTTTTTTTTTGCAGCAAATGAGTGGCTCATTAAGAAAGCCAAACATGCAGTAACCCTTTTTTTTGTCAGCCTTCTTGAGGCTTTTGATCAGTGTTTGACATGATATAAGTCAACAATGAATGGGGGGCACGAATGTCAACTTGGTTGTCTCTCTCCGGATGTGAAATGTCAGCAGGGTCCAACACCACATCCGTCAACACTGAACTTTTTAAAACATTGATTATTCTTTTGGCCACTTGGCGGAACAATCAGTTGCCCGATTCCACATCCAGCATGCCTGGAGCAGCACTCAATTTGAGTCTTCCTTTCGGCCACTTGATATATTTTAATCCAATCTTAGCTCTGTTTTTGGTCTCCACCAACATTCTGAGTTGAGGAAATCCACCACTATGTTGTTAAGTGTGTCTGTCTGCTATTTGGTTCTGGGCAGGATGTGTACAGTGGTTTATGAATGAAACAACATTAAAGAAACCAGTGAGTGAACTAAAACAGTTGCGGCAAATAAAACCAAAACAGTGAAAGATGCTAAAATACATTATTGGACTAGTCCAGAGGTCTTCAACAGGGGGTCCGTGACCCCTAGGGGGTCTGCAGAGGTACTGCAGGGGGTCCGTGGCATTTTTGGTTGATTAGACAATTTGTTTTTCCAAACATGAATGAGTTTATTATGTTAAAAGTTCAGTATTGTATGCAAGATAACAGGTATGTTTATGCATGGCAGTGGCACTAATAGGCCATCACTCATTCTCGTTTCCACATTTATGTTTAAAATGAAAACATCAGTGTGAATAGCTTGTATGATGATTATCATGCAATTAACAGACAATGTTGATATTGGCATTGGTATCAGCTGACAAGGTGTGTTTATAAATGGCAGTGCACGGCCTCCCTACTCACTGTACCTTGCACATGTTTAAAATAAAAACATGAATATATGAACCTGTGTATTATTTGAATAGCTTAGTATTGAACGCACAAAGAGGTATACACGGTACTAGGCCCATTTAATATAAAACACAATTTTATACAATATATATAATTGGGGGTCCCTGCTCCATCTCTCTATCAGTTTGGGGGTCCTTGGCCTGAAAAGCTTTGAAGACCCCTGGACTAGTCTATAGAGCGTTGTACATTCTTTCTTTATTCCAAAACCTGCTTAAGAAGTGCTTAAAGGAGAACTCAGCCGATGAAGTACTGCGCTCCTGTAACATTATTAGACTCGCTATGGAAAGTGAAAAAAATAGATCAAAATCGATATCTTTTTCATTCCATACATTCTTGTGCTTTGTTAAACCCAGCTAAACTACACTACCTGCATTTAAACTTGGATAAGTCACGATAACGACTTTTGTTGGACGATATATTTTGGCCCAGCTGGTCATGAATTTATTGATCTCCAAAAATGATCTTTTTAGATGACGGACTTACACGGACAAGTTGCACCACTGGCTCAAACTACAGTGCTAATTACAGAATTAATAGCTGTAAGAAAGTTTCAACTGCTTGACTTGCCCCATCAGTCTCCCCACCAACCACTTAAAAGTCGTGGCGCGACAAAAAAAAGAAAGACTAACAGAGTAAAAGTTGGATGAGAGAAACAGAAAGCAGCAGAGAGGGAAAAGGCAGGGAGGCGAACAACGCAAAGAGACGGAGAGGAAGGCAGGAGAAAGATGGCGTTATGATACAGAGCAGATTGTGCTGATTCTACTCTCTCTCTCTCGTCTTCCATCGGTGGGCCCATTCCTCAACCAGACACTTTCTTAAGCTAAACTAAATGGGCTAATTAATCTGGGCTAATGGTGGGTGACAGCAAATATGCTAGCACAATTATCAACCTATTAAAGATTCATATTCCAACCCATAATTGAAAATGAAAAGGTGGGGTGAAGGGAGGTTGGGTGGGAGTGGGTCCAACAGAGTGGAAGATGAGTCATTTTTCTCAGGTAGCCCGAGCCAGGTGCCCCCCTCCGCCCCCCGACACACATCCAGCAACTCAGAGCCACTACCAGGACCAGCTGCACTACTTACAGGTTGCTACCTCTGCAGCGCATGCTTTTGTTTGATTTTATTGTTACACTATTGGGTTTAACATGTTGGTTCTGGATAGTTTTAATATGTTAAATTGGTCTTTCACCATCAAATAAAGCCTATTGTGTCTTCATGTTAATGGTGTGGACACACGTGGGCAATTGTGGATAAAATAATTCCATTCAGCATATCTAATTGGTCATCTGACTATTAAAGACTGTGCTTTTACTCACATGCACCTTCTTCCTCCTTCAGACTTCCTCCAACAGACACTGCTGTGTAGTTTAATCAGCACGCGATGCAAATGTGCCTGTCAGTTTCCATTTTCAGATGAGACCGCCTTGGTCATATATCGGTAGCTATTCCTGAAATCAGGTGCAATCAGCGGGGAGCGTCCCACAAAGAATTCTTAAAATGAGTGTATGAGTGTGCGCTGCTTTCTGTGTTGAATAAGATTATTGTTATCTATTTAAATAATTGTATAATTCTTTTTTTTTTTTAAACATGAGAAAATCTGTGTACTCCCAAGACATGTGATGACTAGACCAGATGAGTGCTGTGCTGTGTGTAAACTGTGTCGAGTAGGTCTTAGTGGATGTGTGTGAGTGTCCCTCCAAGGTCATCCAAATCAAGTTCAGTCCAATGCTGAGCAAAAGGGACAAATTAGAGTAATCTGAATCCAGACTTTTAGAAAATATATCAAGTTGACTGATCGTTAATAAAGGAAAATAAATGATGCCTTGCCTAAAGGAGTACCAATTAGGCTGAAAAGGCACTAACATTTTCTTTAATATGGCCCATTGCCTTTTTCCCCGAGCTATTATCTTACGATTTGTAATATCAAGACTATTCACAGCAATAATGGTTGCTTTGTTAAATTGACTGGTAACTTATTTCAGAACCAAACAAACTGTGATTGAGTTGAGGTGTGAATATATTTTTAGGAACAAAGGTTTGTATTTCTCATGCCGACGTTACAGAGGAATTAATTTCTTTGGTTTTTGGTCGTAGCAAACCTATGCACTTTGAATATGAAGGTTGACCTAATGTTGACCACTGATGAGAATACGCTGTGCTATCAATCAAGAATTAGGATCTACTGGCAGCTCGTTTGGCAGTAAGGGGATATATATATATCACATTCAGACCACGAGCCAAGGAAATTGCCCATGAAAGGCAGAAAACGGAACATCAAAGATTAACGTTTTCTGAAGGCGCTTCGGCATTTTTCTTAAAAGATCAGCCAATTTTGGACATAAAAGTCTCCAAAAGTAAATTGTATATTTGCATGCATGGAGATTTAGAAGACTGGGTCCTTTTTTTGAGCACACACAACCAAAGCGGTGGATTTAAAGTGAGTCAGAAGAATCAACGGTGAGTGCTGACGACCGTCTCCCTCCACTGTGCACAAATGATACTGCGTCATCGAGTTGTGATACGTCTCGGATTCCAGGTAATTCTGAGTGGACACCAACGGAGGCAGGGAAAAGAGAAAGATGAGAAAGAAGATGAAAAACCTCAAATTCAATCTGGCACTGTGAGCGGGACTGAGGGGAAATAAGGTGGTTTTGATTTGTCTCTCATTCCTCGCTTGCGCTGCGACGGAGCGATAGAGTATCGCCACCGTGGAGGGAGCACCGGCCAACTGACGGGAGGGGGGTGGAGCGAGGGATAGGGAGGTAAAGGTGAGGGAAGAATGGAGGACGAGAGGAATGGAAAATGCAATCTTATTCCAAGTAAAAGAGAATCATTATCTCCTCTAAAACAGAAGGCGATGGAAAGGTCTGCCCTTGGCGGGCGGTGGGGTTCAAACTGCCGGAGGCTAGTGAAGGAAGTCTGGTTCTCCATCAAAATCAATTCACACCAACTTCTGCCCTTAAAAAAACACTGAGAGTCAGAGGCATAAATAATTAAACAATCCTCCTCGCATGAGGGGTTAACCTTTAATAATAAAAAAATAATTTGAAAATGCACCACATTAGTAGCACCCTCTGCAATCAAATTATGAGTTCTAAGCAAAAACATGAAAGGTAACTTGTCATGCAAATGGAGCTCAAAGCAAAAAGAAAATGATCAATATATTGAGTTAAAAGATCCATTGGTGGAAAGACTCAAAATGCCTAAGCACTGTAGCAATGCATTAGCAGCATTAAGGCAACATTTTCTCTTGAACTAAGATGGAACCAATTTAACGCTGCTATTCCTCAATCTGTCACCATGGAGCCCACAGTGTCACTAACTGCACTCACTGAAGAAATATTATCCAATTTATGGGAAAAAGAAAAGATGATTTCAGAAAAGAGCAGACAGAGGTCTGCAATGTGTGTTTGAAGGAAATATCCAGGATGTCGAACTAGTTCAGCAGTGAAAACCGGTTCAAAAGATAAAGATAGAAGCTAAA